CCTGTCCTCGAGTATACGAGTATTAGTGGCCCTCATGTTAAAAAAAAAAAATGTTTGGCCTGCCTGGTGTAATGCACTTTGCAATATGTCCAGACATCATCAGGCACTGATCTGGTTGGATGGACATACTGTACTACATATTTGTATTTTAATTTTTTCAGTACCAGTATAATCATATAAAGTATTGTACAGTACTAGTATATTATTGTACTAGTATATATGTTATTATACCCCCCCTTTCATTTCAGCACCATAATGCAACATTTCTAGGGTAATTTACCTGGTTCCTGCAAATTTGGCCACCATTTGGGGCAGACATTGGTATTACCTGTACCTGTTATGTCAGCCTGTCCATTTAAGTTGCCATAATGAACAGAAAATGGTGTACTATAACACCTGATCCTAATCTTACAAGGCAACCCTAACTTAACCTAGTCTAAGTGAACCATGCATAGAAAATGTGAGTGTTTGAGTTACTAGGATTTATAGTACATCATATTTTGTCCGTTGGAAGTTTTGACATCAAAATGTAATGTATTATTTGAGAGCACAAGTACAGTATGATACATGCACTAGGCACCCTAAATTTTGGTGGCAGTTTCCATGGGAACCAGAGACCATTGAGATCTGATACTACTGAACATGGTATCATGGTGTCTCTAGTCGTCAGATGTTATCTAATTGTTTGCGTACTTTTTAGGTGGAGCCACCACAGGCATCTCCAATGGTGAGCAATAGCATCACTCTTTTCAATGTTCGGTGGTTCATGCCTTGGAAACCACTGGCCATTATCAGACCTTATGGTCTTGCACATTATCAGACCATAGGGTCTGATAATGTGCAAGGTAGCATGCTGAATAATCACATGTTGGTGGCATTTTCAATTGATTTGGAGATACAGTATAAAATTTGGTTTCAGAGACCAGGTACTAGCAATGGAGTGTTTGTGGTGTCTTTATCCAGCCACATTGTTTATTATCTATTAAGCATGTTTCTAGGTGTCTACTCTTGTGTCATCTTACAGTTTAAGAAGTACACATTTACCTGAAAACAAAACCTATTGAATATATTTAAATGTAACCCCCCTTCAATTAAACACTAAGGAAATTAATTCTTATGACTCATGTTAACGACTAGTCTTGGAAAACAAAGTGCTATAATTTTTATTCCAAGTTTATATATTCATCATATTTTAATATAATACTTAGGAGCATATTAGAAGAGCTCCTGTAATTCTTGGGGTTTCTTTCTAGCCATTGATGCAGGCAATATAATTTGATGGATTTTAGGTGCTGGTGGCTGGACACTGACAACCAACTAGATGCAAGCAAATTTCTTATTACATTCCTATTATTGGGGATAGGAAGCCTGTTAGGTTTATTGAGGTCCTTCAAGATCAATAAGTTTCCCTCCCAAGGATCCAACCCACAACAACTGCCTAACTTACTTTTAACTATTTTGTGTTAGATGAACAGGTACATCAGGTATAAGGAAATGGGCCTGAAATCTCACCCTCTGCATGGGAGCTTAACCCGGGACTACTGTTGAGGTAAATACCTCAGTGCTACTTATATACACAGGTTTTACTGTATGCTTCAGACAGTCCTTCAACACTTGTGTTGAAATTTCAATTGAAGATGCTTGCCTTGAAATGCTTGTTAATCACACAACCAAGGTGGGATTCACCAGTTTTCAACAATCCAACTATTTTAACTCGCATTTCAACAATAATGTTCCTGAACTCCTCATTTACCCTATGAGATATGGCTTGTTTTCTTTTTACCTGAATTTACCTAAAGGCCACCATTTTTAGTGGCCATATCAGGGAGAGGAAGCCGACAGCTTGTCAAAGGTCACCTGATTATTCCCGAGGATTCTTTCCGGCTCAGTTTTAAACCGAAGTACAGTATTATCTTGGCACTTAAAGAGCTTTGGCAGGTAAGCAGTTCCTTGTAGTTTATTACTCTATGAAAGAAAAAGCATCTCTTGTTTTCTGTTCTGCAATGGGGCGCTTGTTGAGCTTGAAGCTGTTGCCCTTAATAATGGTCTGGATAATACACAAGGTATTATAGACTGTGAAGTCTAGTATTTAATGAAATTTGATTTTACTTCATCTATCTCGGCCTTCAAAACAACTGCTTAGACACATCATTAGAGAGTACTAAACACACACCCAACACTTCACCTCTTACAATCATTACAAAAGAAAAAACTTGAGAGATCAGCTGAAATATATATTACACTTCTCTCAGTTATATCAACAAACCAACAATAATTGCTAGCCATGTTAATTAGCAATTGATTCAAAGACAATCTTGTTATGAATATTGTATTTGACTGATGGGCTTGTATTTGGGCAGTGTTGTACCTCAAGCTTAGAGGTGTTGTATCCTACAGGCAACACTACAGGTGTTGTATCCTGCAGGTGCCACCACAGGTGCCACCACAGGTGTTGTATCCTGCTGGCGACACTACAGGTGCCATCACAGGTGCCACCACTGCACCTGCACCACCACCTACAACTTGGGGATTGATTTATCAACAAAAACAATAACAAAATAATATTTGGCAACTGGACATTCATGCTGTCAAGTTGACGCTGTCTGGTGACCTGACCTCTTAACGTCCCATGATGACCCCTGGAGGGGAAGGGACTGAGCACCTGTAGAGCCTGCTAGAGCACCAGTAGAGCCCCAGTTAAGCCCGTGTTGGCGCTCTCCAGGAATCCATACAAGTCAACTCCCGATCATCCCCCCCCCTTTCAAATTCCTCCCAGAGACCCCACGACCTAAAGAAGCGATAAATCTGAGCCAGCAACACTCACCTATGTTGTCTGTGTTGGAGGAAATGTTGACTGGAGGGTCCAGACACTCGGCACGAGGTAAATTATGGTCGTCAAAAGCGAGAGTGCGACAATGGCCTCGTCTCACCTGGTGCCGCGGAACGCCCCGACAGGAGGCCCACCCTCCGCACTCACTCACTCCTTAAACAAAGTAGGTCTCCTTCCCTCACCAGACACTCTAACCCCTTCAGATGCCGCCCAGCACGCCCACCTGCTGGTGATTAGCCAGGAAGGTTGAGGAGGGTGTGAGGGGAGAGGTAGGTAGAGAGCAGCGAGCGTTCGCCGCGGGTTTGTGATCCCGTTGTGACGCGAGACGGAGCCTCTCTAAGAGAACTGGAGCCACGGCACACTCTCCTAACCTGTCCCTCCAACCCTCCCTACTCACATGTAATAATAAGTAAATAATATATAATAAATGTTTATTCAGGTAAAGTACGTGCATACAAGATGTTATACAAAAATTGATAGGTTTATAGATAGGGCTGGTATATACAATGCCTAAAGCCACTGTTACGCAAAGCGTTTCGGGGAATCATGTACGTCTTAATGGGTTTTTATTTATTTTACTTTATCTACCTGGGCCTCTCTGTGGCATACTCGCCTAACTTATCTTCCAGCCTCCATACACTGATATATATATATATATATATCTCAGTTTGTATTTATCTCTCTAGGGTAGACTATCTTAATATCTAAAATATTCTAATATTTAATCTCTAATATTCTAATATATCTTAGAATATTTAATATTCAAAGATCAGATATTTTCTACATCGCCCTGCCCTGGTGACGCTCTATTACTCTCTCATCTCTCCTTATCTGAACTATGGTATTTCTGCTCGAGGTTCTACTACACAAAATCATTTACGTCCTCTAATTACTCAACACAAAGCTGCTATTAGAACAATATCTAACTGGCCCCAGACAGCACTCGGTACCCTTACTCAAATCTCTGAATATGTTAAATATTAACTCACTGCACATCCTCTCATGTGTACTCTATATATTTAAAACTCTGAACTGTAATGTCAATTATGACCTTAAAAGCTTCTTAGAAGGTTGTAGCAGAACCCATGGGCACCACACCAGAAACAAATATCTATTTGATATTCCAAGAGTACGACTTAATCAAACTAAAAATGCTCTACAAATTAAGGGACCCAGAATGTGGAATGACCTTCCCAATCATATCAAAGGCTGTACCTCTCTCAACCAATTTAAGATAAAAACTAAATACTGCCTAATAAATTAACCTACCTTACCCCTAAATGTCAACCTATATCTTATTATTTTAAACAATGCTGTTTGCTGACCAACTTGTATAATTGCTATTTTCTGCCATGTTCCCCCATTTTTTTTATTTTTTTTAACACAATTTATACTTTAAGCTCAATTACTGCTAAAACAGTTGGCATTCTTTCTAAAATAAGATCTTATGTACCTCGCTCTGCCCCAGTAGCGCTGTATTACTCTCTCATCTCAATTATGGTATCCGAGCCGAGTCGTTAGTCATTCACTCTGCCATGTAGAGGAGCTAAATAAACAGGCCGTCCTCTCGAGCTGTCACAACGTCAGAAAAATGCTGTACTAAATTGCGCGAACCTAACTGATGGACCCAAGAATAGAAAACGTAACAGCCCGTCAATTTACCGAGCCGCTATGATTTATAGTGCATTATATTTTCACGTTGGGGATTTTAACGTGAAAATACGTGGTATTATTCGAGGGGACAGACAGAAATGCTGTTGTGATGCATCCTTCCCACGAGGTCTTGACACTATCAACATTCGCTGCCTCCGGCGTTTTTACAATCACACACTGATCGACCTAAAATTGCATATATTTTCACTACATTTTATATTGTAAGAATATGTGGCCTAAAAGACAATATCAGAAGTTATCTCTTGGTAGAGACAAGCCTAATCACAGGTTAACAGGCCAATAATTGTATAATAATGAATGCTGTTTGTTCAAAGTTTCAGATTACATCGTGCATTCTTGTGTAGAAATGACATCATTACTGATATATACCTTCTGCTGATCAAGCTAACAGTTCTATCAGTACTATTTATGATCAATTTATGGTAGTCAGTTTGAGTACAACAATTATGCCCATCAGTATTGCGATACAAGTTCGTGAATAATGCATATTATCATTCTTGCAGAATCATCATTGACAAAGCACAGCAGCAGCTGCTTGTTATGATTAAGAAGAGATAATATTTATCTATATAGCGTTATCAGGATGGGGCCAACAAGGGCAGTGTGTGGCAGTGTAGCAGTCTCCGGCCAGCCTCTCACCCTCTCATCAAGGTATGTGCCTTAAATCACCATTGTTGCTAACACTGGCTTCAAAAACATTTAAGACATTTGCAGACAAAACACGTTGTTTCAATCATGCCATTAGTTCACAGAATTCACGCACATAGTGTGACAAGATATACTGTCTGCCTTCTTTATGTGTGTAGTGAGGCAATATTATATTGCCCATAGTCTCGACCACGTTATAGTCTATAGTGTTCATCATCACAGTTATAATGTTATGTATGCGCTGTATATGCAAGTCAAGCTTTCGCTGCTGTCGTGAACACTACAGTTTATGCTTACAACCTGCACTCTGAACTCGTAGAGGGTGCTGTCTATATTATATGAGAGAATATATATTATATGAGAATGTCTATCTAAAGTTGAAGGCCAGACGCCTGGCCTCGTCCAAATTTACAGGGGGAATGGTCCGAGGTACGGGAGGGACATAGGCTAGTCGGGGTAGGTTAAGCCACCTAAGCTACCTTAGGGTAGCCACCTAAGTTAAAGGCTTTAAAAAATATTAGCAATTATAAACACCCCTAGGCCACTTTCCCTGAGTATTTCACAGATTCAAGTGTGAAATATGGCGTATGATTAACAAGGAGTTTTTGTCATATAATTTCTAAGATCCATAAAGTTGTTTCAGAGGTTCTTAATATATTTTTCGAGAGAACGAGGAATTATGGATAGATTACTATAAACAGAAAAATTATTCCATTAATGTTGACACAAGCAATTTAAAAACGCCTCATATAAGCAAAAAAAGACATTTGATTTCAGATAATCCTAATAAGTGCCTTTTATCGGGGCCAATAATTTACAATAGAATAAATGATAGACTAATACAAATTCAACTGATGTTAATGATGAACACATGAAACCGTTGCAGGCTCTGATGATGTTAGTCCTTGCAATGTCGTGGGTATATTAATGCTTGTAATTCCCATAATGCCCCCAATATCTCGAGTATCAGCATCATTAATTATTTATCTGTCATATGGACCTAGAGGAAGTAAACGGACAAATATTGACGGCAGGAAAGGCATTAACATGCAGATAACGATCTCCGTCTTGCAGTTTGAACTGATGCGTAGTAAGCAATTATCAGGAGAAAATGCTAAATCACTCTTTATGGTTATTTGGGCTCTGATCGTTGTCGGGGACAGGAAGCCTGTAGTAATTGGGGTCCCTCAATAGAGCTATGCTAACGAGTGTATGACCTTTCCCACGATGCAAAACAACAGTGCTCAACTCCCAGGTACTTATCTATTTCTCTGGCGGCTCGGCTTGTATAGAGATGTAGATGAAGTGAAATGTAAAGTGTGTGTGGCCAGAGACAGAGATACACATTAGAGTATTATGTATCTTATCTCCGTTGAGGTCTGATAAAGACCTTAATCCAAATGTGTAGAGAGAATAATGGTGTCAAACCACGAATGGAAAATGAAATAAGAACTTAAGCAATTTTGTGTTAATACATTGTTAACTATACCTATAACTTATCCTCAGTCCTTTAATTAATTCACCTAGACAGTGTCTAAAGGCACAGTGGAAGACGGGGAACGGGAAACAACTAAGAAAATTCAGTAATCGATTTACATGATACTTGGAACTAAATGATCACAACAGTCACGTTACACTTAATCCCTAACACCTTAGTACCATACCGAGATATCCTTAATCCAGCACCTGCAGGACTGAACAAGGGCAAACAGCTAAAGTTGTCCCAAACAAATGGCGGGCAGTAGTGCAATCAGATGTAACACAAACAAGGAGCAACAGTCTCAATCACAACAAGCCACTATGTAGAACTGAGAACAGGAAATGCTTGTTCACCTACAGGGTTATTAACACATGGAACCGCCTACCCGCCGAAGTCGTGAATGCCAAAATTCCGTTAACTTTTAAATTACAGCCGGAAAAGATCATCCACTACTAGCCGTAAGTGACTTAACAATGAATGGGGTTGGCTGCAACAGGCAATTACTTACGTTTGCCCTAACATCAATATGCATGTCTAGCACTGAACAAATTCCACATTCTTGAATATCAGCTTATGGCTGGCCTACTTCTATGTGAGGCGGTCACCGACTAGCCTCAGCTACGACCCAGCCTACGTGACGTCACCTCCGGCATGTCCTACCACTAGCCAGCGACGTCCTTGATTGTGACGTCAAGCCCCATGGTAGTTTAGGTGGTTCAAAGAATAAGTCTGAAATCGCTTATACGCCGAAGCCGTAGATACGAAAACTCCTGATGTTTAAAATTCAGCTGGAAATTTTCTTTTAGGGCAAATGGAGGGACCTTTGACAAGCCGCCGGCTTCCTGTCCTCGTCGAGGCCACCAGTGTTAATGGCCCTCAGGTAAATTCAGGTAAGTCTCATTTCACTAATGGACGTCTGTATCAAGAGAAAACTTCCAGGGTGGACTATCGTATCCCTGACAGGCCGTAACACTATCATCAGAAATATACTGATAGCTGACATTTCTACACAAGTCGAGGAGGATGTCATATGCTACACAGATGACTTCTGCGTCATTCCGAACAGTGGTAACCGGCTGCGGACTCTCCTTGATATGCTTGCAAATAGATGTATTGAATGTGGGCTTATCGTTTCCCCAGAAAAAAACTTGGACCCTATGCCCCCCCCCCCCTCTTTTTAATGTCAACGCATTGAAAACTGCAGGCAATACAAATACCTCGGTGTGAATATTAAGTGACTTTGTAAGCGAATTACAGCTTAGGCTTAAAGAAAAGCTAAAACCACTTTAATAACACTTGCTGGAAAGCGCATTGTTATTAATGTTAAATATGCCAGAATGTTCTACATGATGTTCATTAGGTCCCTAATTGACTACTAAGTACTATGCTATGACCCTTATAGATTTTCCCAGCGCTAGACTGTAAGCTTTAGTGAAAATTAAACACGAAGCCATGAAGATAATTCCTGGAGCCTCCAGGTGCACAAGAATTATCAACTTGAGGGGGAACTGAAACTCCCAACCACATGTTAAAGAATTGAAAAGCTCAGTACAACGTTCTGTATAAGGGTCATGAGAGATCCAACATCACCAGTGCTACTTACATATAAACTGGTGCTGTTTACCGGTGGGAATTAAAGTGCTACCAACGCACGAGCGAGAAACTGTATGCAAGTAGGTTGAATTTACCAGAATTTACCTGAGGACAACTACACTTGTAACGTACGATTATGTTACGTTGTTGGGTAGATTAGATACACAGTGTTTAGTGAGTTTCATATTTATTTAGTAGTCTTGATTACAGAAGTCGGTTGGTGGCATTGTCGTAGAGGTTCAGACGGAGCTTGGAGCAGAGCAGAGAGCTGAGTGATGCCGGAGTCGTGGAGCTTTATGCGGGAGAGCGTGGCGGCTCGATGGGGAATCGCGAGTGTCTAAACACGGTGGGGAGCGAGAGCGTTGTAGCTCGATCCGGTCGTAGTCTGCTGTCTGCTCTGTGTCGAAGCTGTAGTGTTTGGGGTAGATAAGAACTGTATACCTGGTTGATACCTGGTTGATGGGGTTCTGGGAGTTCTACTCCCCAAGCCCGGCCCGAGGCCAGGCTTGACTTGTGAGAGTTTGGTCACCAGGCTGTTGCTTGGAGCGGCCCACAGGCCCACATACCCACCACAGCCCGGTTGGTCCGGCACCTATGCACCTGTATACGCCGAGTGTCCGGCATCGTTTTCGGAAATTGTACTGTTGGCTATTTGCATATCGCTTGCTTATATTTGGTGACTACACTTCAGCTTTCTCCAACTGGATTGAAAGAGTGTTACCTGTAATTAGGGAAAGGATATGAGTAGTCATAATTAGTTAATTAGTGCTAATTAGTTTGTCATTAAGGTAATGAAAGATTGGAGCGAGTATAAGGTATACTCGCTACACACTCTAGTGGCTTCGACTAGGACAGAAAGCCGGCAACTCGTCAAAGATCCGCCTCATATGTCCTGGTGATTTTTTCTAGCTGGATTTTAATGAAAAGATAGTGATTCAAGTGTGTAAATGTCTTGTGCTCACCTACTTGGATTATTATATCCAAGCATGGATATCTCATCTACAGAAGAACATAGCTGTTTTGGAGAAAGTATAACACCAGGTAATAAAAATAATTTCAGAATTAAGTAAAATCTCATACCAGGACAGGTTGACGGCCTCAGGGCTCACAACACGGCAAATCAGACATGAGTGGTCGGATCTTATAGAAAGGTATTAAAATACTGAACAATTTGGAGGATGTTGATCCAGACAGTTTCATCAAAAGGTCAGATGTAACACAAACAAGGAGCAGTGTTCCAAACTCAACAAGCCACAATGTAGGACTGAAAACAGGAGAAGCTTTTTCACCCACAGGGTTATAAACCCATGGAACTGCCTACCCGCCGATGCCGTAAATGTCAAAACTTTTCTGGACTTTAAAAGTCAAAGGTACGCTTGATTATTCCTAGGGTTTTGTTACTTTTTTTTTTTACTGCTGCTCCAACCTATTGTACAACTTTCAGTGATTCTTGGATCGTGACTCCAAGGTCCTTTTCTTCATCAGTCTGCTACAAGGTAATGTTATTATTGCAGACGAGGAGCCACAATAACGTGGCAGAAATATGTTGACCAGACCACACACACTAGAAAGTAAAGGAACGACGACGTTTCAATCCGTCCTGGACCATTCTCAAGTCGATTGTAGGAATGGTTCTGGACGGAGCGAAACGTCGTCGTCCCTTCACTTTCTAGTGTGCGGTTTGGTCAACAATGTTATTATTAAATTAATTTTTTTTAATTAAATTAGAATTACCTGAATAAAAATTTAATTAATTAATTTAATTTAATTTAAACATATAACATATGATTGTGAGAATTTACAATGAACTAGAGTATTTTTCACAATCCAATACTGTAAGTGGTTTTGCTTCTTTTGCAGAGTACAATATGGAACCAACTGCACCACAGGATGATGATCCTCCAGCAGAAAATCTTGTTGAGAAAAATGATGGCAAAACATGGAAGAAGGCCGATGATATACCTCTGAGATTTGATGAATTGCCCACTGAAGAAGATGATTGGATTCCTGTAGCTAGTGTTATTCGTGCCCAAAGGGAAGAAATTGCCAAAAGGGAGGCACAGGAAATCAAGATAAAGCCTCCACTAGAACTTGATATAAAGTCACCTAATTTAAAATCTAAACACAAAAATCCTGCGAAGCAACATTTGGAATTAAAGAAAGATTCCATAAAAGAAGAAAATAAAATCATACAAACCAAAGAGGATGCTAATATGAGTCCTGAGATACTTAATGAAGACAAAAATGAATCTGATGAGAACATTGATGCAGTAACTAGGGCCATGATTGACTGGGGTCTCAAGACCTCAGTCACATACGATCCAAAGAAGAGAAGCAAAGCTTCTATCAACTTAGATCAACCTAGTTATCAGAACTCCTTTGATGGCAATTCCTCCAGTAATGTAGGCAAATTTCCAAAGGCACCTTCAGATAATTACAAAAAGAGTTATGAAAGTGAACATGCCAGTATTTCCTCAAACTCCACAGATGATAAGAACTTGCATCATGATTATAATAGACAGGAAAAGCTGTCTCAATCTACTGACAACAGTTCTTCCTATTATGAAAGAGCCCAGACGAGCCCAGAATACCACAAAGATCCTATTTCTGATAGAAGATCCAGTTATTATGATGCAGAACGCTATACAGATCCTATTTCTGATAGAAGATCCAGTTATTATGATGCAGAACGCTATACAGATCCTATTTCTGATAGGAGAAAAAGTAATTATGATCCAAGACACCAAAAAGATCCTACTTCTGATCGGAGAAACAGTTACTATGATCCAGGACACCATAGAGATCCTATTTCTGATAGGAGAAAAAGTTATTATGATCCAGGATACCATAAAGATCCTATTTCTGATAGGAGAAACAGTTATTACGATCCAGGATACCATAAAGATCCTATTTCTGATAGGAGAAACAGTTATTATGATCCAGGACAACATAAAGATGCTACTTCTGATAGGAGATACAGATATCATGACCCAGAACTAGATCAAAATCGTGGATATAGACAGGATCCTCATCGCAACCATAGGCAATATGGGGACAGAGGACAAGCTCATCCCCACGAACCTGATCCATATTACAATGATGAACATGCTCGTAGTCCTAGGCAAGAATACGAGTTTGATAAATATGAGCACAACAAACATGAACAATATGATCGTGACAAACATGGCTATAGTAAATACCCCATCAATCATCCTAATTATGACCGTGGCCATGATCAAAGCCATTATCGTGGCCATGACCTGGGTTACTAGGAAGGTGGTGGACCTATAAAGTCCCTATTATTCCTGAATGAATGACTGCTTGCAATGATATTCTATGAATTTTAATAAAGCCTCACAAGCTCTTTCAGCTACACCACTAATGTTTACACCAAATACAAAATTGAAATCCAAAGGGCTACCAGGATCTAGGAAGAAAATCTTAAAATTAAAACATTCCTTGTGACAATGGGAGTCATGACATCATTGTGTTTGTTACTGGAGCTGCTTCTTTCATTGTGTTGAAGACGTGTACAGTAGTAGTCACTAGGCCCAGATTAATACCAAGTCAAACACAAACACTAGTGCCCCCAAAAAAACCAATGCAGTAATTCTATAACAGTAATCTGCATGTTTTCTGCAGCAGTGGTCAGCACAGGTCAAAACCAAAGGGTTAAATCTTCATGGCAGGAAAGAAATGTTCCTTTTCACCTGATGCTTCTGTCTAGCAGTAAATAGGTACTTGAGAGTGTTAGGAAACTATTGTGGGTTGCAGCCCAAATAATGTCAGTAGTTGGCCTAACCGGTTTCTCATTCCCAATTATGGAAAACAAATTGCCTAATTTTGAGATATGAGGGTTGTTAGTGCATCAAAATATCCATTCTCTTTTTAACAATATTTATAATTATTTCCTATATTACCCTGAGTTGTAATTGTCCCCAAACACCCTGGTGCTTGATGAAAAGCAAAATACTTTGTCTTTAACACATAGACTGCTGAATTAAATTCTTTAACCAATTAATTCGGAGTCTCACCAAATGCACTTCTTTTGGAAGTACTTTGACCACATAAATACTTATTAGGAAAATTGTTTGAGCAGAACGGGAATTAATTTTGATTGCCGCCGCCAGCGGCAGCTAGTTTATTGTGCATCCCATACTCATCCTGTGAGCAGTAGTGCAAAAAAAAAGAATTACACAAGGCACAAAAGGTCTTTATCAGACATCAACAGGGATTATTATATTAACAATTACATCTATCCTTCACATGTTGAATGAGCTAACATCTGGGTAACCCGAGACATGATCCTTAACCCATGGACAACGGCATGCTATAAGTTATTTAACCTGGGATCCACCTGAGTCCACTAGGAGTCTGGAGGCATTGAACTAGTGCCAACCCAAGTTTTACAAATAATCTGCATGCACTCTAGTGAACATAATGAAGTTCTCCACCAGGAGCATTTGGTAAACTCCATTACCGACACTCGAGTGCATACAAGTTATTTGTAAAACTTGGGTTGGCACTAACTCAGTGCTTCCAGACTCTTTGTGGATTCAGGCAGATGCCAGGTTATTATAACTTTTTGCATGTCGTGATCTATGGCTTAAGGCACGCATCTGGGGTTACTCAGGAAGCTGGTTCGATTATATTTCCTGTGTATCACTTCTTATTGTTTTCCAGAATTCATGAGCAGCACTAAATTTCGCTCATTGCCACTAATTTCACTGCTTAAAAACATTGTTACCAAACTTTTCTACCTACCATAATATACTTTAAAGTGCTGATAGCAGCCTAAGGGTTAATAATAAAGAATTCCACTGATTAGCCATAATACTGATCCAAAAGTTTTTTACCATCTTCCCAATGAATTATATCTTTCTGAATGTTGTAACAGTTAATGAATCTTGTTTTGCAATTTGTGGGTCAAATAAATAATTAAGAACATTCTTAAAAAACTCATTTATTCTGTGGAATCGTTCTTATATTGTATAACCAATATTATATTATTTGTGGTTTACTATTTCTTTGTTCTTACTAACTTTACTAAGACAATATAATAATATTTGTAAATGTCAGGCAATAAGATTACAGTATATGTTTTCACATTTACTATAACAAGATGCCACCTCCAACCTGTCATATGAGTACTGTAACAAAATACAGTACTCATATACAGTACTTAATTCAAAATAACAAAGATATATTGTATACAAAATACTTGTTTGCCAGTCAAGTTTTCTTTAACAATACTAAAAGTACAATTTAACTTTCATTTTCTTGACAAATGGTGGTAGTATTGACAAATAGGTAGTAATAGTACAGAGATCATTGTTTGTACTGATATTTAAGGATTTGTTTATAGTGTTGGAACAACATTTAGTTTGATAGTTTAAAACAATACATTAAAAATTATATACAATACAGTATATGTATTACTGATCCTATTACACATCTTCATTTTATTTTCTTCATTCTGCTATGTATAGTTAATTTTTATACAAATAAAAATACTGAAGCAAATTGTAGCAAAGCAATATAGAGTTCCAACATTATGTTTAAGTGGGTAAAACAAATACATAAGAGTGCCTCACATGATTACATCATATTCTGAAGCTGTGTACCACAGCTTTGGGGAGCTGGTGGCTGAGTGGACAGAACACTGGGCACACGATCCTGTGGTCCCAGGTTCAATCCCGGGTGCCGGCGAGAAACAATGGGCAGAGTTTTTTTCACCCTGATGCCCCTGTTACCTAGCAGTAAATAGGTACCTGGGAGTTAGTCAGCTGTCACGGGCTGCTTCCTGGGGGTGGAGGCCTGGTCCTCGACCAGGCCGCTGGGACACTAAGCCCCGAAATCATCTCAAGATAACCACTAAAAAAAAAAAAAAAAAAAAAAAAAAAAAAAAAAAAAAAAAAAAAAAAAAAAAAGTCAAATTGCCTCCACAGGCAGTGAAAATGATTTTACTACGAATACAACAACAAAAATCATCATTATTAAGAAGTATAATATTTTCTGTCTGGTAGTCATGTGTTCTCTACAGAAAAGCACAGTACTATACTGTATATGTTTTCCATGGGACAGACAGGTTATAATGTAAACAGGTATGAATATGACAACCTAATCACAGAGAAGTGATTGAAGGAAAAACAAAAAAATTATCAAGAAAATTATAAAAGAAAAAATTACTTGATCCATTCTTTATCCATGTTAACAAATGTACGACAATTTTTCATTCCGATAGAAATACAGAAATTTTCTTGTATGATGCCAGGCCTTTGAGCTAAATCTTACTCCTTGTAGGCACAGCCAAGTAAATATTTGCCACATATTGAAAAATGATAAATTATTTCAGCATGACTAACAACTCTTTAATGTGGCTGTAAAAGATCTTTCTACTTTTGCCCATGATCTACTGATGACAATGTTGTAATTGTATTAATTTCTATAGTAAATGTATTAAAAAAATTTACACAGATTATCTTGCAATTTATTATAAAAAGGATGATACAACTTGTAAATATACAACTATACTTAGTACAAAAATATATACTTCACTTCTCTTATTTACAGTATATATCAAATTCCAGATATATACAGACATTCCAATTTGATGGTGTATGAAATTAATTTTTGTTTAAATTACAAGAACAATTTCCAATAAACAGCAGCCATTCCATAATTTTTTTATAACAAAAATATGTGCAAGATACTCAAAATACAATTTTACCAGTATGGTAAATTAAATGACATACAGTAATGCATTTCAATGTCATTTACCGGATGTGAATTGATAATACACTGCATTAAATTAAATTTGTTAAAAATGTATGCAATATTTGCAATTACTGTATGTGATTCACACACACATTCTGTATCAAATACTGTACAGTGCATTAAAAACAAAAGTACAAAAGAGCCAAAACAACAAAGTCAGGGAACTGCACTTCTAATGACTCGTATCTTCCGTCTTCTGGGGAGAGGTTACATGAAATTCATCAAGGGTTTGCTGCCTACCAATCATCACCTGAGGAAAGAGAATTGTGAATAACTAAATTATTGAACATCATTGAAAGAAAACACCAACCCTGGAAGAAATAGAGAAGCTATGTAAGAATACAAGGTTAATGGTACCCAAAAAGACCCCATCTATTCGGCACACATTCTACACTACATACTTGACATCAAGTAGAATGAGCACTGTTACACTCCAGCAAAACATCCACAGTAAGTAAGAAATTATCAAAAGAAGGCATCAGACCACAAAGATGCTTTAGCACTGTGTCGTGGAGTGTTCAAAGGGTCCTAAATTTTACTCGGGACTTCAATATTAGAACAAAAACGCTTAAGATGAGCAAAATCAAAGATATTGGATTCTCCAAGGATCTTATTGAGGGACAAATGACTCTAGCAAAATCAACGATCATACTAAAAATCCGTACATTTTTCAAGGTGTGCAACTATAAGTAGGACAATGCAGTTCAGGCAATAAGGATCAGGGCAGTATTTATTCAACACTTATATTCCAATGACACTACAACACATCATCCGATTACTATTCATGAAAATTCGTACAGAATATTCATCGCTGTCATAAATAATCTTATAAATAAAATTGTTTTTGCATCTATTCTCCAGAGAATTTGTGTGTGAACATTATGACACCAAATTTATAGTTATCACCCAAGAAATAACAGAAAAAAACAGAAAATAATTCTGAACATTTTTTTAGCATCGCAAGTGGGACCCACCGAGTGTGCTAGGTTTATGTTCTGCAACATATGAAGAGGACCAAAATCTATTATAAATACTACTTTGGTTTTGCATCTATTCTCTCTACAATCCATTTATGAAAATTTTTACACCAAATTTATTGTTATGACCCAACAAATGGCTTAGAAAACTTTAAATGATTGCAAAAATTTTTTGCATCACTGAGTGGCCCATTAGCCGCCTGGGAAGCCCAGAACATTTACAGTCCAGGATGCCCGGAGCAGTTGCACCATAAAAGTGAGTTGAGTCTGCATGGCTGATACGCAGTCTAGCAGTTTTCCACAGCCTGTTATGATGGCAGGAGGAAGACCATTGGAAGAGGTCACATTTAATAGTACTGTACTGTATGCAGTTTGTTATCAGTATCACTTGACTATTTAATCAGTGGGCATGGAGTGTATTATGAATGACTGGGTAGAAATCCCCACACAAAACAAATTCCTGCACAAAGCTAGGAATCTATTGTAACTAAATAGAGAAAAAACTTAGACATGTTGTGTCCCGGCAATTGGTAGGAAAAATCTCTCAAGGCGTCTCAAAGAAATAAAAAGAAGGTAAATTAAAGGAAAAAACTTTGAATTCTATGTTTTAAATACTCATCAGTAAGGCAACAATCTTTCATAAGAACAAACAACAACATTGTACTTACCACTTTCCATCCCCATTTTTTAATCACTTGTTGGGCATAGAAGCGGAAAACCGTTGGGTTTAGGTCATCCCCTTTATCCCTCACATTTGTGACAATAGGGCTTATTAGTTCACACAACTTCTTAAGATGCTTCTGTTAAAAATAAAACAAACTAGTACAAAAATACTATATCATCATCATCATCAGAAATTTCATTCTTTGCTCATCTTGGCATCTAGGAAAAAGCAGACATATATATTAAAGTCTTAATTATGATGTTGACCAAATGCTTAACAGGGTAAGGCATCTTGAGTATATCCTTACAAAGGATATACTCAAGATGCATCTTAGGTGTTCATCTTAACACTTGTTGTAATTTGCTGCCTGCAAATACGTACACATCTACACGAATAAAATAATTCATAGCCAAATTATTTATTTTTGTCATAAATTCAATAAAGTTATGGGGGTGGTGATAATGCCATGTGGCCATCAATTTTCCAATTTAATGTTATTTATGCATAATAATCAAGATTTTTATTTCTGAAGGAAATTCGAGTTCTGTTCCAGAAAAATCTTCCGTTCTTGGATGAAATCCGTCATGAGCCGATTTATGTAATCCTAATCATGTAAAAGAACATCAAAGGACATGAGCCACCAAAGAGACCAATTCGTGTGTTCTGCTGAGGTATGTAGGTTGCATGTGGGTTAATGGCAATATGTTCCAGGAAAGTGGTAAATCATGAACAGTGTATATTTAACATGCTGAGGAACAAAAAATATGGCTAAAAGAAATGGATAGTCCTTAGCTAATTTTGATAATGGAACCGGAATAAACTAATTTGGCTAACACAAATTTACACTATATTAGTTAAACAGAAAGGCAATCCATGCCAGTGGGAACACACAGTACTGTATTATAACTTACATGCAGCAAGGTGAAATCAAGAAAACATTTGTCTAATTATCACTAGGTAGATTTTGTTAGGCAGATAAAGGTATATAATACAGTGCATTACCAATATTCTGTTCAAAGACTGCATTTAACACTTTAGTGCGTGCGGCACTGGCTGAAAAAAAAAAAAAGCGGGTTGTGCGTGCGGCGCTCTGGGCGCTCAAGCGTTAACACAAAAAAGTTTATAATCTTTTCACGCTCCTAACATCAATTCTCGAGCTACGTTTTTCATTTTGGTATCAATGCGTTGGCAATAAAATTCTCTACAAGATCATATGCATAAAATGTCACCCAAGCATTTGCTATCCCACCACGAAGTAAATAAACACGAAGATGACTCGCCGTGACACCCAAACAGGAAGTAAATGTTCATACTCTTTCATTTGTTGCCAGCCTCACAGTCATCCTACAGCGCTTATTTTGATATCGCTGAACTCGCAATAAAATCCCCCACCCAGACATATGCCTATCAATGTCTAATTATGTTCCGCACGAGTGTGGGAACTGGGCGAAGCGTTAGCCGTGATTTCAGCAGCGACGACACTGTTGTGATGCAGCGCTTTGAAAGTTTATACTTATTTCACTGTTCTGACATTATTTCTCGAGCTACGTATTTCATTTTTATAGCAATGTGTTCGCAATAGAAAGTTCTATAAGAACATGGGTAGAATTGGCCAACAGAGCGTCAAATAAATTTGCGGCGAATAAAATCTTACGCGAATCTTACGCGTGTTTGTACCCGTGAGAGTAAAAAGTTTTTACTTTGCTCCTGTTTTTTCAAGTTTATACTTGATTCACACCGTTTTTTTTGTTTGTATAGTGTTCGGAATAAAATTCTCTACACAGACATATGCATATAAATGTAGAATCATGATCGCGGCCAACACAAGAGTGTGTGGAGTGGGCGTACCCTCGTTGTGTCACCAACTCAATAGTCTCTCCTCTAAGTTACAATACATTGCCGTTTTCTCAAATAGGCACTGTGCCTATTAGAGAAAACGAAAATTTAATGGCAAACATATTCATACAAATCCCAAGTCGATCGAGTAGTAAATACCCAATATAAAACACGGTCCGTAAATTTACGTCGTGATCCGACAAGCGGTTAAGCAAAACGCCCGTAATTCCAAGTCGAAAATCCAGAAAAGTGTTAAGCTATGATTTCACTTTAGCATTTGTCATGACTGACCTTCTGGGCAGCACGAAGTGGTTCATGCGTTATACAACAATCCAGCAGCTTCATAACTGAATGTAAAACATTTGCATCCTCTTCGTTATGTAGTACATCTAACTGTTCCTCAACCAATTTTACGACATCTTCAACCTGTACAAAAAAGTAAGTTATGAATTATTTACTGAAATTGATAAAGAAACATGTACATTAGTGCACAAAACAACTATAAAAATATATATTTTGATTGAAGTTGCTTAAGGGAGGGAGGAATATCAGGAATATTTTACAACACAAACAATATTATACATACAGTATTAACACTTTTGCAGGCCAGTTTTCCAGAAAAGAAGTGCGACCTGGGCTGATCACCTGATCAACCCAGGTGAGTTAATAAGATATTTGGCTGGTTGCCAGGCACCCAACATGACCTGGGCTGCCATATTGTGGCAGTCTGGCACATTACATCTGGGCAGTTTACCCCATAGAAATGACCGTTTGCCATGTTTTCCTCAGAGATACTCATTTTCTGTCAAGCAGCTGCTTGTTATGATGCACATACACAGTACTTTCTGGTAGGCTTTACTTGGTTTTCGGTTAATCTCTGATTCCTAAGGTCACCTTGCCTCAGAGAGCCAGATTCTGGTCATGGCTCTCAGAGCCCTGGTGTGATTTCCAAAAGATCTGGCAGCTATAGTGTTATAGCTGTGTGGAGCTACTAAGGGAGGCCCACCAGGAAAAGCCTAATACCACCAATACCAATATCTAGTGAGATGACATTGAAAATCATAAAATGTATCTATGTATTTTAAAATTAATCTAATATATTTACAAATAATGTAAGCCAAAAATACAAAAAACAGAGTTGAATATAATGAAATGCTAGCCTTTGGGGACAAGGACCACCTCAAGCAAGGAAGCCCCCTAAAGGGAGTGTCTCAAACACCCCAGGGAAGGCAACCCTGACTGCACAAGGGTAGTACTGTACTTACAGAGTGCACAACGAAAAAAAAAAATGAGCACATGCAGCTCCAATACACTAAACTTGAGGCCGACGCACAATTCCATGTAACAACTCGGCCCAAAGGCAAAGGCAAAGGCAAAGGCAAAAAAAAAAAAAAAAAAAAAAAAAAAAAAAAAAAAAAAAAAAAAAAAAAAAAAAAAAAAAAAAAAAAAACACCACTCAAAAACGGGAAATTGGAGCCAGAGCGACGATGACCACTAGGCACAGATGTAAGTCTAGAACTGCCACCACCTTTAAATGATAAAGTGAACATCTTAAAAAGGTTAAGATGATAACCTATAAATGTAGTGATCATAGGCTGTCGCTTCCTGCGCCTCTATGAGGGGTCCAGGTTCTGGCTCGTGGTCCCCTGTAGGCAAATAGAACTCAGCAACTGATGCCACTAAGTAGTATGGCACTGATCAGTGTATGATAGCTTCAGGGAGCCCACAGAAAAGAATATGCAACATCTATTTTTACGGCTGCATGCTGTAATTTAATAGTTTAAAACTTCAGTGAATTCAAGCAAATACTTCTTATCAACAAAATTTTATTGACAAAAACAAATGAAAAAGCTATATCATGAAGTTATAACTTACATTCACAACATCAAGGATAACAGTCTCGTCTCTCTTAAGGCTGAGCTGTACTTGAACAAATGCAACTGATGATTTGAGAATTGTTCCATAGCGTGTAGGTAATATGTACATACAGCATATATGGGATACATTGTGGTGGTGATAGTCACAATACTTTGTAATTTTCTCTGCCAGACCTTGAACTCTCTGTAAAACAAAGAGTTAAATTTAGTACATTCAGTTAATATACGAGACTGTACACATTACCCTATGAATGGAAATTAGAAATATTGCTGCTGACCCTCAGTTGCATTTAGATTTACTGGTATACATAAACAGAATCTCTCCTCAAATGTATTTTCTCACCATTTTCCTTATCATTTACTGCATGTATGTTCTCAATACATTCTTAATCTGTCTTCCTGCACCACCTTGAGGTGCTTCCGGGGCTAAGCGTCCCCTCGGCCCGGTCGTCGACCAGGCCTCCTGGTTGCCGGAGGCCTGGCAACCACTCTACCATAATTGTTATAAACCTACCCATAGGACGCTTATTAAGCCGACCTAGAGTGTATCTAAGTGAAATGCTCACACTGTAGATTTTCATATTTACTTAAAATAGTTAGTAGCCAAAAAACAAGAACAAATTAAACACCTGATAGAAAACTTGGTCTGAAGAATACAAGTTGAGTGTGTTGGCTATACAAGTAGAGATATGATGGTCTATCCCACTATCAATAATCTTAGGATCCAAACCAATGGCAAATAGAACACCGATGAGGAAATCAACATCATCATCATTATACTTGTTGCTCTTCATCAGAATGACACTTAGCAACTGCAGAATCTACAAGAATAAAAAAATAAACATTAATTAGTTTAAAATAAAGTGTTGGATGTAATGATATGCTTTTTTCAGATAGATGAGGGGAGCTTGGGTTTCAGAAGACAATCACCAAGAGGGAGTAACAGGGAGATTGCTACACTGGATAAGGGATTATCTACAAGGCAGAAAAGGTCAGGTGTATTACCAGGGATACATGTCTGAGGAACGGAGGTTTCAGTTAGGTACCCCACAAGGGGGAGTATTAAGTCCCACCTTATTCAATGTATTAATGAACAGATTAGCATCAGAGATGTATCCTCCAGGGGTCACGACGATCATATATGCTGATGACATTCTTATACAAGGCACTTCTGGGAACAAAATTCAAACTGCTCTTAACACTTTGGCGCATTCCAGCAGACCGTCGTTGTCACCAATATTATTAATCACACCGCACGCGTGCCCCTCTCGGGAGTCACGAGAAAAAATATTTGTATAAAATCCATTTATTATCCGATCAACTTGGGAATAGTTTACAAGTGTTTGCCATGAAATTTACGTTTTCTCCAATAGCTGAACAGCTTATTAAAGAGAACGGCGTGGCAGTGAATCATCGTGGTAAAACAATCGTATTATTGACACGACGAGTATAATCGACGTAGTTTTTATATGTTGCCAGTCGAACGCATCCTTATGTGACCTTTAATACTTATGTTCTTATAGAACATTCTATTGCGAGCACATTGGTACAAAAATGAAATACATACATCGACAAATAATGTCAGGACAGTGAATTGAATATACACTTTTCAAAGCGTGTTTCGCCGATATGCCGCCGCGGGTAACACTTCGGCCACTTCCCACACTGTTTTTGGTGGGCTACGACATTGAATCTATATTTATATGCATATGTCCGTGTAGAGAATTTTATTGCGATTCCAATGATACCACAATTAGCGATGTAGGACAACTGTAGGCTTCGCAACCATTAAGAGAGTGGAAACATTTTGTTGCTGTTTGGCGCTCTCGGCGAGTGATCTGAATAGTTTTTTATTTGGTGTTGATACCAAATACAGTGATACCAAATTTAAATACGTGCGCCTTCAATTATTGTCAGGACAGTCAAAAGAGTGTACACTTTTTCAGTCTTACCGCGTAGGCGCGCGAACCGCCGAAAGCGCATAGGGTATGATTTTTTTTTGAACGCCGTGAGCGCGAAAGTGTTAACATACTTGGTACAACCTGTCACGAGTTAGGCTTAGTTATAAATGCAGATAAAACCAAATACGAGTATAGGAAACGAAGAAATATAACACTTACTCTAAATGGTGTGGAACTGAGCCGTGTTCAGAAGTACAAGTATCTGGGCATGTATGTTGGATACACATGTGAGTAAAAATGCTGAAATAAATCATATCAGCACCTTATGTAAGGCCCGTCTGCATCCTCTGAAAGCACTGGCTTTTTCTGGTAAAGGTGTTGGGGTACTTATCTTGCGGATGTTATACATAAGCACTGTTCGGTCCCTGATAGACTACGCAGCACCCGTATTGTCTTACACAGGCCAAGGCAGAATTAAAAAAATAGAGCTGATACAGAACGAGGCTATTATTCTTATTCTTATTATTCTTATTATACTATTATTAATTATTATTTAGAGGATTATTCTTGGATGTCAAAGAAATGCAATGATTGAAATAATGAGAATGGAATTAAATTTACAGAGTGTGTGTGATAGAGTCCGTGACATTAACACTAGAGTATCTATTCGTTTCACGCGGAGAAAAGGAGGGAATAAGCTGTTTGAGAGTGTTCAGACCTGCTTGAGTGACGTACACACTTCCAGGAAACTGAGGGAGACACGCTACACGAGGGGATTAGCTCATGACCTCAGGGAATACGACGTACTTGACTGCTGTAAACCCTCTCGACAGTGTAATATGTCTGCTCCCTGGAAAGTACAGAAAATAGACGTCGAAATTGTACCCCTCAAGGTGAAAAAGATTCACCATGAACCGGGACAATTACAGTGTTTGTATGGAAGCATGATATCTCTGTTACCAGGAGGCAACAGTTTACATGTATATTGCGACGGGTCGGTGGCGGAGGATGGCAGGGCCGGGTGTGGTGTCCTAATAAGGGAATATACGGAGTTTGGGACTCTGGACAGGATAATTGAACTCCAGCTTAGTAATTATATATCATTCACACAAGCTGAACTGCAGGCCATTCTGGCGTGTTTGGAGGAAGTACGCCATGACGACAAAAATGTTTTTGTATTTGTCGATAGCCGAGGAGCACTGGAGTCCTTAAACAGTCGAAACCCAGTCTTCATGTCTATAGTTGAGGACTGTAAGAGAAGAATAACCGAGATACAGCTGAAAGGTTATAGTGTGAAATTCATGTGGATTCCATCTCATGTTTGAATAGTGCTCAACGAGGTGGCGAATGACTTGGCCAAACGTGCCACATCAAAACCACAAGTTGACATTGAATGTGAATTCACAATGAGACAAATAAGAAGCAAAATCAGAAATATTCAGGCACAGGCGGGAGTGGAGAGGAGAGAGATAATGTATGAGAGTAGTCAAACCATGCAACACTACATGTATGAGTCAAAACACCCATTTCACTTATGGTAAAAGGAGAAATGCTTGGAGTGACTGTGTACATGCGGCTCAGGCTTGGGTACAAATATTACTGGGAATATGGGATAGATGTTCATGATAATGACACGAAGTGTAAACTATGTGGTATGTTAAGGTCTCACACCCTGGCCCATTATGTTCTTGATTGTCCGTTGATTAATGTATATAGAAACACTGAGATAAGGACTGTTCCTGAACAAATAGCCTGGATGTGTCACAACGGAAAGGTTGATGATATTCTTGAGAGAGATAAGAATTTTGCACCAAGATTGTAATATTTTGTTGAATTATCTGCAGGTGTCTTGCAAATTGTCTATACGGTATACCTAGGTCATAAAAGTATTTGCGTGTACTGTACCTCTGATAACATACTACTTGTGAAGGAGGAAATGTATATGTTTACCTCTCAGAATGTTTGGCAATATGTGTCTATGTATATATTAACACGTTGTACTGAACGGGGTGAGAATAGCTTGAGCTACCTCATCCCTTTGTGTGTATTTTACCTCAATAAACTTATTTCAATTTCAATCACCAAGAGGAGAAAGATTTTAGAATTGTGAGATATCACCAGCGAAATACCAGAGAGTTCAGTTCTTAGACCTATCCTGTTCCTTTACTGTATATTTAAATGATCTCTGAGATGGGGTAGACTTGTTCCACTCAATGTTTACTAATGATGCTAACATTTTGAGGAGCATTAATTCAGAGGAAAATTATAACTATACCATGAACTAGATAAACTCAGAATAATCCAGCAAATGGCTACTGAACACTTTTGCATTGCAATGACGATAATCTGTGTCATCTGATTAATATTCATAAACATTCGAACATTATATTCATCACTGTCATGAGCAATCTATTGTAAACAAATTTTTGTGTTTCCATCTATTTTCTAGAGAATTCATTTGTGAACACTTTAACACCAAATTTATACAGTAGTTATAATTCAACAAATAATTTAAAACAAAATGACTAAACATTTTAAGCATTATTGAGTGGGATCCACTGAGCCCACTATGTTTAAGATTGGGAATATGCAGAGAAGAGCATAATCTATTATAAATACACTTTCGTTTTTGCATCTATTCTCTAGAGAATTCCTTTATTAGAGATTTCATTTATTGTAAACCGTTTAATAAATGTAACCGAAGCCGTCAAAGATTGAGGAAAGATTTACACGTTTGTAAGTACTTGCGTAACTGCTTCGTGAATCTGGCCCCTGGAGGTTTGTATCACACTGTACCTGTCTTCTGAAGCCCACATTACACAGAAATCCGAGTAAGGAATCATTCAGGACCTTACATTTCACACATGTCTGACTAATCCTAGAACATGTGGTGCTAGAATGGAGTCCTTGTCTAGTCAAACAAAACAAAGCTGAAGAATGTCCAGAGGAATGCTATCAGACTAGTATCAGAAGTAAGAGGTATAAGTTAAGAGGAAAGACTAAAGAAATTAAAACTCATTACTAGAAGACAGAAGAGTAATGGCAGACATGATTACCACATACAAAATTCTCAGAGGAATTGATTGATCAAAATGTTTATATATTCATGCACAAATCTTTTGCTCCCTTTTAGGTGACTTAACATACAATTATTATAATATAAAAATATTATATTTTTGGAATAATTAAGTATTACTGTATTCCAAAAATGCAAAATATAAAGTGTTTTGAAAATAAAGTATTTACATTATCAATAATATCTCTTGTACTCTGATTAGGTTATAGTAGCTCCTAATTTATGCTTTTTAATAACTACAAACTTTAGCAACTTTCAAAAGGGTGCACTCACCAAGGTAATGGTTTCTTTGAACGAACTAAATGGAATGTCCTCATCACTTGAGTCAAAGTAAGTAGGAATGATTACAGGTGACTTGAATTCTGAAACATCCTCCAGTAATTTGCTTACATCAGCCCCTAGTAAAAATATTAATAACTGTTAGTACTACAATGATTTGCCAAGACTTCAGTCTATAACAAAGCACATTGAAGGGAGAGAGAATGAGCTCCAGCTCTTAGGGTCAACCTATTGAACCTAATAGCATTAATTGGCTATTGATATGCATTATGGTCTATCCATGACAAATTTGTTTTGAATCTGTGCATTCCTCTTATTTACTAACCCGAGTCTACAAGAGTTTCTGGCTCAGGCTCTGTACGTACCCCATGAGTTTCAATGTGCAACTCCTTGTCCTATCCTCTGAACATTGTTTCTCTGTTGTCCTTGAAAGTTCCACTTTGAATCTTGTGGATGTAATTCAGTCACCTCTTGTTTGTTTATATTTCTTTAAATTTGACTCAATTAGCATACTCTGTAGTTAAACTTGTTTAGTTCAAGAGCTAGTCTGATGGTAAATCTTTATAATTTGTTATCTTCTCGACTCTCACACTACCTCTGTAGATATTTTGCTCTCCTTCCAATGGAGAGAGAGAGAGAGAGAGAAAAAAAACAGCATTGAATGTAATGAAACCCCAATTTCTGGTGAGCCCCTGAAGTTACTACACTGATACAGTGCCTTACTGTTGTACTAGGTGCAATCAGTTGCAGAGTTCTTATTGGTCAACTGGGGACTATGAACCTAAACCTGGCCCCCCTCAGAGAGGCACAGGTAGCAGTAGCACAAAAAAAAAACTTTTATATAAAGTAATTCATGTCTGCCACCACCAAGGGAAGGCACCTAGAAAGTCAGCAAAACAAAATAGACTACTGCTTGCTTAGAAACAAGGCCGCAGCCTCAAAACCGCCAAAAGAACTCTCCCAACAGTGTAAACAAGATTTTGTGTAACTAGCTCGAGCTAGATCACCCTACCTGCCCCCCTTATTTGGGAGGAGGAAGAGGAGGGAGGCAGACTGGTGACGCAAGTGTTCAGTGTTCCCTTGCATGATCAGTTTTCTCTTTCCTGGTGTGTTCAGGATACACTGCCTTACGGAGTCTCCTCGCTTGTGATGGCTCTCACCATTCAGGTAAGCCAGTTGTCTTTGACCGTCCTTCCTGTCATTCCTCGAGTTGAGTGTGTGTTTATTGCAGAGTGGGCGCACTCTGATTCACGCGACCTACCCAGCGTGCCAGCTTAGATGTCTGGTTAGTGCTGATTCTCCCCAAGTGTTTGTTCTCCATGGTTGGGTCCTCGGGATTAAGTACTATAATATCACATTGCTCAGTTCTTCAGAGGAATGAGCAGTCAAAACCCTGCTGGACTGTCAAAACCCTGCTAAAGTGGCCCAGAGGAAAACAACCAACATGCCAAGACAAACTGGAGAAGAAACAGCCAAGACCCTAGCAGCAGAAAACGGAGCAGAAGATGGAACCTCACTAGAGAAATAAAATCCTGACAGAACGAGTCCTAGGAAGTGGAGAGCAATGCCCTACCACACACACCTCACACCCCACAGGGAAATGGATAACCCCAGAAGGAAAACCTCAGAGAAGAAAGCCCAGGAGAAAATGAAGGGGCCCATAGGCCCACAGAAAGGCAGGCAAGGATGCATCTCTAATTCCCAGCTGACATGTAGCTGGCAACCAAAACCTCAGATTCCAACCCAGAAGGAGACTACAATGGGCCCATAATTTTGTCCATGGAAAAAGCTGAACCTTTCCAAAGTGAACAATTAAGTGGTACGTCAAAGTTATCAAAACACATAAGTATGAATCCTTAATATTTCAGTTTACTAATTTTGGTATTAATCTAAGAAAACATAAAATGAAGGACATTTACCTATATTATCAAGGGCAAAATAGAGATCTTGGCATATATTTATTTCAGAATGGTTTGCAACCCACAAGTAACAGAGGGTGTTGTATGTTGAGTAAAGTAGCTTGACATCTGTGGTGCAGCACATAGTATGGAAGAGATACTGCATTAGAAGTTTAACTGTAGATTTTGATGAGAACTCTCTCTGAAAGATAGAATTTTATATTTATTAAATTAACAAAAAAATACAGGGCATCTCAAAATTATTCCTATTTCCATGAAATTGGACAAATTAAAAAAAAAACATGTTTATTGATGTTTGTCCTGTTTAACATGCCTTATAAATGTAAAAATTACTAAATTATTTCATCTCTTTTTAGAACCTTTTTTCTCTTTTTTTTTCTTTTAATACAGTAATGAATATTGAAGAATGCACCTTTGTTGTGACATCCCATATCAACGGATTGCGATATAAAGAAATCAGAGAAAGATCTACAAGGAAATTTCACAGCATCGGTCCTACAGGCAAAGCAATTTGTGAACGTGTGAACATATTTAAAAGAACTGGATTCGTACATAATGATGTGGGGAAGAGGATGCCCAAGGTTGGAATGTGACGGTATCAGTTGACAGTAATGAATAAATAAAGATTGACTTATGATTTATAAATCTGTTTTTGTATCAAAATTAGGTAAAAACACAAAATTACATAGGCTTTTAATAGATTTCTCCAATTTCATAGACATACATAGCTAATTTTGGGACACCCCGTACAGAATAGTACAGATTCTAGTTTGACTCGAAGTAATTTTGGGCTGCACTGTGGATTATCCAGTTTCTCTTGAACTAATATTGCATGACAGGCATATCTAAAGATACTAACTGAACTGGTACTAATATTAAGTGAACCTGCCCTGGCTGTGTGTAGTCATGCCCATGAGTCAGCAGGACCCTGCCTAAGGGAACAATTAAATGTCTTCCTCAGATATGAAGTTTTTCATCTATAAAGCCACATACTTATTCAAAGCATTTGTTGGTGGATTACTGTGGCTCTTGTTATGTTAACTACTGACAATAATGATGTGAAATAATATTGTTACAGACAAAACAACAGATCAAAATGGAAGACTAGACACATGAATAATGTACAAATGAAGTCATTTTGAGTGACCATATTATTTATAGGTTAACAGCAGGCTGCAGATTAGAATCTAAGAAATAGAATTACTGTACAGTGTAGATATCAATTTGTAGTGAGATGTCTTACCTGAAAGAGTCCTTCATAAATATACTTTTTAACTTTGGATTGGTCAAGTTTTGCAAAGTTTTCCAAAGCCTTCTCTTGAAATGGCCATATAAGGGTTTCTGGAAAACAAATGAATAAATACTGCACATACAATAGTGAAAATATTTCCAACAATATTAATTATAAATGATGATATGCATGAGGAAGAGAAGTAAAATGGAGGAAGCCATTCATTTTCTTTAAGATAATAAGATTATTAGACTTGAGACTTGTCACAACTGCTTCTATCCTAACCTATGTCACCTGTGTCTTGGGTGTACTCACCTGGGAGATATAACCTGCCTCGTTATTTACCTTCAGAATATCGATGGTGGTGCCTCCCAGTAAAGAAGGGAACTCCCGGAGGCTGTAGTGACAAACGTTTACGCTGACTTTCTTTAACATCTACAAGTGGTTCCATTTGCAAAGATTCTGAAAAAAACATTTGCCTCTTAATTTTTGGGGGAATCTTGTTGAGGTGTCAGTACTAATGTGTCCATGCCTTGCTCCTGTTTATTCTATAGAACACCTTAAGTGGTTTCAGGATTATTCGAGTAACAGGCCAGGATCCTTTTACCATTCATTTGTATCCTTATTTGTCCCAGTAGGATATTATACAATCTACAAGACCTACGGTTCTCTTCCTCCTGTCCCCTGTCCAGAAAACTCAGGGTGGTGGCAGCGTTATTTCTTATTTGGTAACTCGTACGAAGACCGTAGCAGGTAATATTTCTCTCGCTCACTCGCGCGCTCTTACTCTTACTCTCCCTCTCGTTCTCACACGCTCTCTCTCGTACTCTCCATCTTGTTCTCCCATGCTCTCTTTTTCTCCCTTAAGCTGTCTACACAGAGTTCAGTCTATTTTGAGTAATTATTTAGGGCCTCGTATGATAGACCGGGTGTTAATATAATTTAATAGCAAGGAGCCCTGTCATTACAATGGTGATAATGGTTTTTTGTTATTACAGTATAATACAAACAGACAAGGACTCACCTGTCACTAAATGTCTTTGACAGGCACTTTAATAAGCAAGGTCTACTACATTAAGGTATCCCCCTGACAACTATCCTGGAATGTCATTTAAAAAATGAAAATACACCTAGTCTCACTCTTGGTATAGCAAGTAATTATCAAAAGAAGGCACCAAACCGGGAAGGCTATGTAGCACCATCAAATGCGCAAAATAATCAGAGGGCTCACTCTTGGTATAGAGTATATATAATATTGCACAGTAAACTCCTAGTTGTATGTTCTTGGCCTTAGAAAGCAACTGTGCAGCATAACTTAAAATTATTATAGCTACTGGATGGTAGCAGTACAATTTTGTCAGCAAAAAATTGACAAATTACCATTTTCTTTGATGTCAAACAATTTCAATTCCTCTGCAAGCTTCTCAAGGTGATCGTAGTAACGAGTGTCTGAACGCTCTGCATTCCTCAGGGACTCTACATCAGTTCTTGTTGGCTAATAATAATAATAACAGTACTGTAGAAAACAATTAGGCTTAAAACAATCATAACATTTTATATTTGACTAGGTTGAACTAAAATTTTATTATCATAAAATAAATTCTGATACTACAGTACCAGTATGCACATTAAAAGTAATCATTTAACTTCCATTAAACGATATATATGGCACATACAGCAATTCTAACTGTAGTAAATTGTTTAGAAGGAAAATTAATATACTAATGTACTGTATTAGCCTAAAACAATTTTGAATTAACTGTGAATTTCTTTATTGAAGTTTCTTTATACAGTATTAAACTATTCCTAGCATGCACACCAAACTGTTTCAAACACTATAAATCACCTTGGAGCTTCCTGAACCATGGCCATACTCATCCCCAAGGCATGGAAATGAATCACTATTGCTGTCATCATCACTATCTTCATATGTCAACATTTTCTCATAATTTTTTGCCATGTTTTATCTGAAAAAAATAAACTACAGAACATACATCACTGATGTTATATGGACTTAGGTACCGTATCAGTATTAAGTTGTGAATACAATTTACACCACATTGTACATCTAAAAATTAAGACATGAAGGGGTAACTCGGTGGCACAATATCCAATAGCAACACCAATTTAATGCCAAATTGTCAGAACATTGATAATATTGATTCAATATTGAACCTATACTACTATTGAATAATGTGCTTACTGGGAACATGTTGGTATTGACAAAAAAAAATGTCTGATATACATTGTACTGTATAGTAAAATTTTCATTACAATACTGTTGGGTTGCATTGTTTTGGTAGCCATACTAAGAATTTTTTTTTTTTTTTTTTTTTTTGAGATATATACAGGAGTTGTAACATTCTTGTACAGCCACTAGTACGCGTAGCGTTTCGGGCAAGTCCTTAATCCTATGGTCCCTGGAATACGATCCCCTGCCGCGAAGAATCGTTTTTTCATCCAAGTACAGTACACATTTTACTGTTGCGTTAAACAGAGGCTACAGTTAAGGAATTGCGCCCAGTAAATCCTCCCCGGCCAGGATACGAACCCATGACATAGCGCTCGCGGAACGCCAGGCGAGTGTCTTACCACTACACCACGGAGACTGCTAAATAGCAAAATATAGGTGTTAAGCATAGAGGAGCAAAAATGATGCAAAAACGTATGCCATACAAGCATACTATGCTAGTTAAAGAGATAAATTTATTCAGTCTTGAAAGAAGGGGTGTATGAATTCAGGAAGTATTGAAAGGATACGAGGAAACAAAAATCGCGACTGTCCATAAAATTCTAACCAATCAGCCAAATTATACAAATCGTCCCAGTTGTGTAACTATGGGAGACTTAGAGCATAGAGGAGACCCACTTCTCCCTGCCAGTACCGACAAATAATAGAGCCCAGAGCTCCGGCGGCGCCTCCTGCAGGAGCACGAGCAGCAGCAGCAGCAACAGGAGGAGGAGGAGGAGTAGTTGTTGTTGTTGTTGTTGAGTTAGGGGCAACGACGATCATGGGATCGGATGCACCCCGGCGTACCCGTGAAGGGTGAACCGCAAAGCCAGGAAAGGCAAAATGCTAAGCCAAAACGCGAAACGAGTGACGCCAAGCACTAGAAACTAATACGCCACACGACAAAGCTACGCACAAAGGGAGAGGCAGAAGCACATAATAGAACAGGGCAAACAAACAGCCAGAAGGGCACACAGCATGTCAGAGCAAATACACAAGAAATCAGAGGACATACTTGTCTGGGAACTTGGCCCGCGGGAATCTTACATTGAACACCTCCCAGAGCACAGGTACCGCGAGCCGAAGGAACCGACGCCAGGACGGCAGCAGCCTCAACCACAGGGGGAACTGGGCCACACACAGCAGAAGGCTCCGCAGCCACCCCAGCACCAAGCACATCCGGGACCCGAGTCACGGACACAGGGCCAGGCGCAGCATCAGAAGACGAGGGAGAGGACAGCGACGTCACACAGGGAGCTCCAGGAAGGCCCATGGGAGCAGCTGGGGCAGTGACAGGATCAGGCAGACCGACCGACGGTACCTCAAGAACCGGAGGAGGGACGGCAACAACCGGAGGAACGGCAGGCGCCGCCGGGGAAGCTGCAGCAGCGAACGGGACGCTCACCTCCTCACCCCCGGAGTCCTCCTCCAGAGGGAGCAGCGGGAAATCCTCCTCACGGAACAAGTTCACAGGAGCGACCGGATCAGCAGTACACCCGGCAGCCTGATGCCCCAACAAGCCACACCGGAAGCAAGTACGGGGTTGCCGGGCATAAAACACACGCACGTAGTACCCCAACAGCCGGACAGAGCACGGTATGTCCGACCTCAGTCACATCCCAAGGGTTCGTATGTTGGTCTTCACACCCGAATACGTGCCAGACAGGGAGTTCATCCGCACACTGACGACGGAGCCGTACCTCTGGAACAACCGCCGGAGGAGAGTCTCAGGAAACTCCATGGGGGTGCCATGAACACTGACATACGTCACAGCACCACTACGGTCTGAAATGGTCACAGACCCGGTGCCGTCCTGTAACTGCAAAGTACGTCCCTCGTACCTCCGTAAGAAAGCACGGTATACCGCCTCGCCCACAAACTTGATAACACTGTGAGCAGTTACCAGCTCAATGCCATATACGTCCCCAACCGGGACACTAAGCATGTCACTCAACACCACGTCCACCAGCGGGTAACCAGCACGGCCAGTAAACTCCAATCCGATGGAGTTTAACCGCACGACAGCGGGAATAGGGCCGCCCATCGCAAAACACGCCACGTCTCCACCAGGAACAGCAGGGAGGGTAAACAGCCCCCTGATAATAATAATAATATAATATTATACCAGGAAATCTATCAGGACCTAACCAACCACAGATTAGAGAACTACTTAGATTCTGTGACAAATTTTCACTCAATCAGCAGATATCGGAGCCAACGAGAAATGAAAATATTCTAGATCTGGTCTTTACGAACAATGAAGACATTATCAGAGACATTACGATATCAGATACCACATACTCAGATCACAAACTCATTGAAGTGCAAACGACCATCAATACTCAGAATAGACCTAAAATATTGATAAAGCGAGAGGGGCTATTCAGTAAATTCAATTTTAATTATAAAAAGGATAGACTGGGAGATAAACAGGGAACTTAAACATTCCATGGGGAACTGTTCTAAGTAATACAAGTCCTACAGAAGGAATAGAGAAACTGACTTCAGAAGCGTATCAAGTCTGTCTGAAACATATTCCTTTGAGGAAAGCCAGAAAGAGATCTAACGTAGAAAGATAACGCAGACGACACTATAAACGCAAGAAAAAAATAACGGAACTGCTTACGCAGTCACAAATTTCCCGTCAAAGAAGGAATAATTTAAATAGGGAGATTGAAGAAATCGAGCGGAAATTGAAACTCATATGAAACTGAAAAAAGGCAGTTAGAACAGAAAGCAATTCAGGAAATAAAGAAAAATCCAAAATATTTCTAAGTTCTCATATGCGAAATCAAAAGCAAACACCAGAGTACAAAACAATCAAATGTACCCATAGTAGGAAAACAGCATGTAAAGGATTTGGGAATAATAATGTCTGACGACCTAACGTTTAAGGAGCATAACCAAGCAAATATTGCGACAGCCAGAAAAATGATAGGATGGATTACGAGAACTTTCAAATCCAGGGATACCATCACAATGGTTGTACTCTTCAAGTCACTTGTGTTGTCCCGTCTTGAGTACTGCTCAGTACTCACTTCCCCCTTCAGAGCAGGAGAGATTGCTGAAATAGAGGGAATACAGAGAACATATGGCACGCATAGACGCAATAAAGCACCTAAATTATTGAGATCGTCTCAAAGCCCTCCAAATGTACTCACTAGAAAGAAGACGAGAGAGATATCAAATAATATACACCTGGAAGATACTGGAGGGCCAAGTACCAAATCTACACAGTAAAATAACAACGTACTGGAGTAAACGATATGGAAGAAAATGTAGAATAGAACCAGTGAAGAGCAGAGGTGCCATAGGCACAATCAGAGAACACTGTATAAACATCAGAGGTCCACGGTTGTTCAACGTCCTCCCAGCAAGCATAAGAAATATTGCCGGAACAACCGTAGACATTTTCAAGAGGAAACTAGATTTATTCCTCCAAGGAGTGCCGGACCAACCGGGCTGTGGGCCTGCGGGCCGCTCCAAGCAACAGCCTGGTGGACCAAACTCACACAAGTCGAGCCTGGCCTCGGGCCGGGCTTGGGGAGTAGAACAACTCCCAGAACCCCATCAACCAGGTATCCCACACCCCCTGCCGGAGCGGACAAGCAACACGTCCTCACTCAACGGCAGCGCAGGTGGAACTCCCAGGAGGAAGAGGAGGCCAGTGTTTACATCAGGTCAGCTGGCGGGTGGATGCCACGTGCAGGGGATCAGGTACCACGTGGAGGAGGATCCACACACACTCCCGCCGCCCCGCGATGCGCCGCTCACTCCCGCCGTAACACACACAATAGACGACTGAGAAAATCACTCAAGAGGAGGCAAGATGGCTGAATCCAATGAGTGTTTCAATATTGGCAGCACAGTTAGTTGCAAAACTTGCTTCGGCGAAGAGCTGCAAGGCGAGGTGGTGGCCTTCGACCCTCACGTCAAACTCCTCACCCTGAGTATCCTTTGTCAGCTGCAGTCTTCACTGACCTCAGGAGGCCAGGCACCTCCAGGCCTAGCATGGATGGTCACAAATTTTCTTGATAATTTTTATTTTTGTATAAAGAGCTGTGGCAGAGTTGTAGATGGCATAGAAAATGTAACGGTATTTACTGTTGTGTGACAAAATTTAACAGGACTTTTGATTGGGAAGTGAGTGAGTGAGAGAGTGAGAGCCACCAGCTTTTCCCAAGGACACTTCAAGCTTTGCAAGTGTACATGTATATTGTATTAACTATTATTGCTCATCTCGGTGCCTATATTAGTATAAGATATTTAACAAAAGATATTTAAAATTTAATATGGTATATGTGTGATCAGCACACAGGTCATTTCATTCACAAATTATCACATGGAAAGCCATGTGATAATCCTACTTTGTAACTGGTACGATGGGTGCAAGTAAGTTTTACTCGTAACACAGTTAACCAATCAATTTTAAAATCTACCTAACTTAACCCAACCAATCCAATCATCACTTAGCAATGGCTATGTTCTTGACTGACAATTAGGGATCCTGATTTTGAGAGAAACCAGGATCCTCTGATTGACAAGGATCCTGGTTTGAAGTTCTTGATTGATGGAAGATTTCAATCAGGACAAAAATGTGCCTAAATATTTTTGCCCCGATTGACAGGACAGAAATGGTTAGGCACATTTCTTTCAACCTAATGTTTTTGTTTACCTTGTAGTAAATCGGTACCTGGGAATTACGCAACTGTTGTTGGTTGCATCCTGGGGAAGGTCAGTAGTTCGACCTTGAGGGGACCTCGATACAAGCCTAAAAGCCCAGCTCAATAAAATCATCAGCACAAATGGGGGACATTTGACATCCCATTGACTTCCTGTCCTTGTCAAGGCCACTAGAGAAATAGTGGCCCTTGGGTAAATTCAGATACATATACAGGCTTCCTGCCCCCTGATAATGGGAATTAAACCCAACTTTACAAAGCTTAGCCTAATATAAACTAACCAAGCCTAATTTAGTTTCCTATTGTTCGGGACAGAACAGCTGTATTTGTTTATCGAGGTTTCACTTGACCAACTACTGACCTTTCAAGATGTAACCCAGAAAAAATATAGATCACTGTGCTACAGGTCAGATTCTAAATTAGAAACAGCAATGTGCTAAATAGTCATATGATTTGACCATCGGGTAACCTGGTACAACTACACTACAGTATACAATTGCTTCTGTCGCTTCATTTGAAGCTTCTGTTGGTAGGATTTGGGAGATTGAGTTACAGAGATGTGCTTGAGAAGAGAAAATACAATGTAGGCATGATGGCAGTGGGAAAAGCTGTAGTTACATTAATCTTGCTGGGAAATTAGATGAATATTTAAAATAAGTTAAATAGAGCATTGTATTCATGCAAAAGCCACTGAACATTTGGAGGCCAGGCCTCCAAATGTTCAGTGGCTTTTGGTCCATTTGTTTGAATAGTGGGATGGTACCTATAGTACTTCCATTTTTTCTAAAAATATTACGTTAATTTTTAATCCCATATGGAAGCTTGATATTTAAGTTGCAAATTAATTTTCTTTTATATGCTAATTATAAACTGCATCTACTATACATTAGGTATTTATTTGAGAACAATATTTAAAATCGGCTGTGGATAATACAGTAAATGATTTGGAAGTTTTTGCACCCAAAAGTTGTTGTTTGTGCATCTTAACTGTGCTTTATAATTACCATACCAGTATTACATATCAATTAGATATGTTTCTCCATGTGCTCTTCTCAACAATTGATTATTTTTATTAGTAAATAACTACAGTATACTTCCTTAACACAATACCTCAGAAGCAGCAGCAAGTAGTGGACGAACATCTTTATGTGACATACGCATGGTGAACCTTAGCTATGTTTCACAAGTTACTGTATTGAGGGAAGCGGCTGGATCCCCTTTACCCTCTCTCCCATCTCTAAATCTTGCTAAGGTTAATATTTTCACATTTTTGAGAAAGATTATGGTTTTCAGAAGGTAAATTATATTATTGATTAGTAATCATATTCTCTCACATGTATGTGTGTGTGTATTCATGCATGCATGAATTCTTTAAATATTGTGTTTTCTATTATAGTGTGTTTTTTTTGTAGATTATATTTATAAAATACTTACATTTATTTCATATAAATATTCAGTATAGTATGTATAAATGTATTGTGTTGAGGCAATTGCAAACTTTCTATAGGCTAGCAGTATGCATTGGATGAGTATCATGTCAAGCATAAATTATTCAATGTGTTTCCTTCTCAACAGCTTAATAGTCGTGCAAAGAGGAGCATAGAGGAAAAACAACGATTAATCCAGGCAATGCAGTCTGGGGTCTCTCCGGATGGCCAGAAGCTGTTCCTAACCATTTGTAAAACGTAAGATGCTCTGTTCTTAACACACTTTCTTCCTGGGAACACTGTACTCTTCTGGCAAGCATGGTACATTATAGCGAAGTGCATTAAACAAGCCATTCTAAACATTATCTTGATGATGCTGAAACATCTTGATATTTAACCTGAGCTCTTTATGCAAGATATGTAGACAATGAGTCACAATAACGTGGCTGAAGATATGAAGACTAAACCACACACCAGAAGGTGAGATGACAACGTTTCGGTCCGTCCTGGACCATTATAAAGTCGATTGTGGTGACTTGATAATGACAATCAACTTGATAATTGTCCAGGACGGACTGAAACGTCGTCGTCTCCTCATCTTCTGGTGTGTGGCTTAGTCTTCAAGATTTCATCTCTTCTAGATAGTACTGGGCTTCCTCACATTTTATTAACAATAGTCATTAAGAAAGATGTGGCAGAATGGAAGGTCAAGAGAAAGGACAGCACTGGAGAGATTGGTGTTTAGATCTTAAAGGAAGAGTTTTCAAGATAAAAATGCAGCTTATGGGAGAGGGAAGATCTTATCAATACCATGACTTTTCTAATGTGACTTTCCTTCCAATGGGAATTCTTGGTGGAAAAAGAAGTATCAGTAATGTAAATTGTAATACTTTATTCTTCTGTATGCCTCTGTCTCTCGTATCGTTAAAGTAGACAAAGTAATTAGGTGCTATAATTTTTAGTAGCAAAATGCAAGGCTTAACTCTTCAATATATTTATGAATATTGCTATTGTCTCATGCTTAAAGATATGAAAATGTTAGATGAAGAGAGGTTACATAATGCAGGCGATGAGTCACAATAACGTGGCTAAAGTATGTTGACCAGATCACACACTAGAAGGTGAAGGGACGACGACGTTTCGGTCTGTCCTGGACCATTCTCAAGTCGAACAATCGACTTGAGAATGGTCCAGGACGGACCGAAACGTCGTCATCCCTTCACCTTCTAGTGTGTGGTCTGGTCAACAGGTTACATAATATTCTACATAAGTCACTTTCCCCTGGAATGTGAAATAAAGACGATATACTGTACTGTACTGTATTTAATAAACATTAAATTATGTTTTCTTGTCAGCTATATTGCTGGGTCTAAACAGACTATCTGACAAAATCTTATATTGGATCTTATGAACAACAGCATTCCCAGTCTTGAAATTTCTGTAGCTACTTGGGTAATTGAGTTAATTAACCTGTTCAGACACATTGGAGGCTTTTGGCCAGTATGAGTCAAAATTAGATTCAATCTACATAGACTGGTATATGGTTTAAATATAACTTTTGAATTGCCTGCAATTAGGAATTGTTAATTGAATATATTACTTCACTGCTCATTAATAAGTCTAGTAATCTGAATATAATTTTACAAATCCAGAATCCTCAATCACTATCTTTAGTTGTGTATTGTAAAATCTTTAAATTCGAAAAAATTTACTTTTTGAAAAGATATATACTGTAGTACTGTAGTATTAAAAGACGGTATAACAAAAAATTCAAGTGATTTTTGGACTTGTGTTTTATATCTAGGCATTGCAAATTATCAGATTTATTTGTTACCTTGTTTGTAATAGCACGGTCTGTTGTAAAGTTTTAGTGTTGCTGTGTCTGTAAGTTCTTGCAATTAAGCCGCAAATGGGTATCTTCTCCATTTGTTTTAGCCAATTCCTTATTAGTGAAATGTTATGATTGCACATGAAGATCACACTTGGGTGCTAAGTCAAGGGAGGTAAAGGCAGTTCTCATTTGAGCAAGTAATTGTAAAAAATGGTGAAATTAAATTACTCTAATTATTTAGTTGAATAATTATCGTGGTGTTGATCCTTTCTTTTCAACTAAAAAAAATTTTTGAATTGGTGAATTGCTGTCACTATTACAGGTATTCTCTTAAATTAATAAAATAATTATATAAATTAAAATAATTTTAAAACAGTATTGGTAAGTAGTTTTATTTTGCATATTAAACGACTGTTATATCCCATAAAAAATGTATTTGGTGGAGATCCTTTTTAAAGTCTCCAGGTTGTCATGTAAAAAACACTTAAACCTTATAACTGACCAGTACAGTAAACAGGGCAATACATTAAATGATTATAAAAAATCCATGTGAATCAAATAATAAGTACTGTACATTTAAGCATTTTGGAATATTTGACAGTAGTCTAACTCGAGAATGGTAATTTAAGCCCGATAACAAAAATATTTGTCTTGATTAATACCTGTAATATCATTCTTAAAAATTAAATAAAAGTTATTAACATAATTAAGTTCGTTGCATTTTTGACCTCGGAGCAATTACAGTATCTAGAAAAACAAAATTTGAAATAAATGGCATGTTTGTTAGGATGAGGTATCATTTTAGTTTCTCTTTATTTGATTTTCATATTAGTTGACCCACATGAGCTGTCAATAAGTATAAATATTTTATAAAGACATTTTGAGGATTCTGCCAAATTTAGGATCAGTATATGACTTCTTTCGAAACTTGGGTTATGTAATGCTCCAACTATCATAGGGCATGGCCACCTGCTTAACCCTTTGATGCTCCATCTTCTAAGGGGTCATGACCATTAGTACTAACCTGTGGTGTTCCAGCTTTCAAGGGGGGTATGGTCATCTGCATTAGTGTTTGGTGCTCAAGTTTCAAGTGAAGCATGACCACTTTAGTATTGATACTCTAAGGTCTTCACTGTTTTTGTTTTGTTCTTTATTTGTTTGTTACAACTTCCTAGAATTACGTAAAGGCACTTAAACTGTCCTTTTGAGTCTAGATAATATACATGGCATGCACATGATTAGGGGCCTAATTTACACAATTGAAATTTACTGGTGCAAAAGGTACTAGGAAAAATCCAATGATAATTGAGGATGCTATAAGAACAGCCACAGAATGTAATAAATATGTATATTTACCAGATAGTGTAAGAGATGAGGTGAAAGGATGAGTCTCGGAATAATCTTTTAACACTTCCTATATCACTCTCCTGTGTACAACTGTTGCCTCCATCTCTACCCCATGAAAGTGGGAAGTGTGGTCGTGCTGATGTAAGACATTGCTTGTACCACAGTTGATAGCTTCATTAGAGAACATGACAAGTTTTTCAAAGGTGCCTGATCAGCCAGGTAGTGATGGTTATGTTGGCTTGCAGGCTGCAAGCAGTAACAGATTGGCTGGTCATGCAGTTACTAGGAATCCTGGCCTCAGGCCATGGTGCGAGAGTAGAAGATTTCTCAAAATCATCTACAGGTAATATATAAATATGTATACCTATAAGTGGTATGTTCACTTGGACATTACCTTATTTATCTATTATTTGCAACTGATACCTATCGTATTTTAATTAAAATTGTTTTTTTTATTTAAAAATTCATCAGAATGACTGTCACATGTTTCAATTGCATGAGCTCCTTGAAAACCATTACAGTACATATATAACTTTTGAAACTCCCATGTGCAGGATAGAGGAGGTGACGTGGGTTGGGACCAACATCCTGGTGATGGGTCAGGTGCTCATCTCGGCTCCCTACATGCCAGAGAACGTCAGAGAACACAAGGAAGGCAAAGAAACTAATGCCAAGACTCTTGGTTATATCAGGAAAATAGTATGTGATGACTTGTACTTTGTTTTGTTGGTAATAAAAAAATTTTATTTGAAGGACATCATGTTCATAGATGGTTATTATTTAACTTATTATATTCATTTTCATAATAGAACTATTGCTAAATATTTGTAATTTAAGGAACAGCAGTAATAAATAGATTTTGTCAACATTTATACTGCAGTTAAAATTAAGGTTGAAGATTAAGAAAAGTGTTAAGTTGATTTTCACAATGCCTTGAAACTGCACATCCCAGCAGTGAACCCTGGATTGAATTTGGAGTACTCTTTAACAGTCTGAAGACAAGAGTACCGTATATATGAGTGATAAATACTTACAATACAATACAATACAATACAATTTTATTTAGGTAAGGTACATACATACAATAAATATTTACAAGGATTGTTTAACTTATAGGTATAGCTAGTACATACAATGCCTAAAGCCACTATTACGCAAAGCGTTTCGGGCATTAATAATCACTTCATAATAATCACATTCTTAAAAGTTACCATGGTGTAGTGGTAAGACTACACCATGGTAACTGTAGTGGTAGTCCTGGCGTTTCGCGAGCGCTTTGTTCTGGGTTCGTATCCTGGCTTGGGAGAATTTATTAGGGATCAATCCTTAACTGTAGCCTCTGTTTACACAACAGTAAAATGGGTACCTGGTTGTTAAACGATTTGGTAGGTCGTATTCCGGGACCATAGGATTAAAGACTTGCCGAAACACTATGCATGCTAGTGGCTGTACAAGAATGTAAGAACTCTTGTATACAGTATATATATAAATAAATAAATATAATAAAAAAAAGCTGAAACAAAAAGTCACCTAATTTATGAATAGATTATATACAGGAAGGTGAATAGAAAAATAACTACTGTACACATAACACATTGGTAAGAGAAAAGGTTTCTGCAAAGTAAAAGTTGTTTGGATGTTGTTTAGTCACTGCACTGCGTACCTGGTTTCGGCAGAAACTTCATAGTGCAATTGTCAAGGACATATTTTTGTTGTTTTTATAAATGTTTAGGTAAAGTTAATGTCAAAAGGTTTCCAAACTCAACTATTTTCATTTCAAAACAGAGTGATGAAAACATTAAAAAATGTTCAAATATAGCCTAATTAACCAAAAAAAAAAGCACAACTCTCAGTACATTGGTTAAGAAGAGTAGCACAGAATTATGAGACTCGAACTTACTAACAGCAGATTGTAGGCAGTGTTCAGTAGTATATATATTAACACAAATGTAACTGTGAAATATGTTTATGAGAAATGAATGACCCCCCAGCATGGGAGATGAGTGACATTAATAATAATTCATTGTGTCCGGGAACAGGCAGTCAATGTATATATCAATGAGAAAATCCACAGGAGCTGTGATGAGGATTTGAACCTATGCGCTGGGTATTCCCAGATTCACACTCTTTAACGACTACGCAACAACATGGCAAAATACAGTAATTGCAACCTGGGGTGCTACTGCATCCTCGAGATTTCCTGAGGCTTCCACTAAAGGCGAACCAGGGTTTCGCACAATTCCTCCAATTGCATGGGAGGAATTGTGTGAAATCCTGGTTCGACTTCAGTGCAAGCCTCGGAGGTCCAATAGCACCCCAGGTTGCAATTCTTTTCCCTTGTCGTGGCGTAGTTATTTAGAGCATGCATCTGCGAACACCCAGTGCATAGGTTTGAATCCTCATCATGGTTCCTGTGGATTTTCTCATTGATATATCTCAATAATGTGATTTTTCTGTGTATGTATGTATATATACACATATTAGGCTTATATTGTTCCCTCCCAGGGTGTGCAACCCCACAACAAGCTGTGAATAGGTGCATTAGGTGATAGAAAAGCACCGAACCATTTCTGTCCTGCCCGGGATTCAGACCCTGAATTCCCGATTATGAGTCAAGAATGAGCATCACTGTAAAAGGGTGGCATTCTGATTATCTCATCTAAGCATTACTTGCTAATCATTCCTTTACAGTTCTTGCCAAGTTTCTGTAGTTATGTTTATAATGTTTATTGGCAACTTAAGTATTGTGACATAGTTATCAAACTCGTCACAAAAAGATATTTGATAACCCATAAATTGAATACGTGTGGGTTTTTTTCCAAGTAACATTTATTCATGTATTTACAGGTGGATAAATTCCATAAGGACCAGCAATCACTCCCTTTGAACAATGGGACAAGTGCAACACCAGTAGTAGCAGAAGTACAGCCAGTGTCACAGTGAGATATATGACTTAACCTCGGGCATGTACAACATCAAGGTGGGAGATGGAGGCTCTCCCAAGTGAATGTGCTCCATTATTTTAATAATTGCCACAATGTAAGTGCAGGCCACTCATCAAGGTCATAGTGTGAGAGTCAACAGATTTATGAATAACTGATGATCATGACAGATCAAGTTTGAATGTGATGAATGTTGAAAAGTGCAATTTATTATTTTTTTATACTGGGCCATGGTTTTTACCAGCTATCCTTGTTCTTTGTCTATGGGTGATTATAAGACACTTGGGTCTTGGATATTTCACATTGTCACTCTTGTATACTGTTGAACCCTCATAACACCTATGTCTTTAGTGAATATTAAGTATCTCAAGTTGGTATTTTAAGTAACAATACCAAGATTATTAGTACTGAATGTTGCTTATTACAAAGATATGTGACAATACTGAGTGAAAGTCGTATACAGACAGTCTATTTAAAGCATTTTTGACACTGCATAGATTAATGGGAGAGGAATCTCTCTCTTTTTTTTTTTTTTTTTTTCTATGTGAACATTTACCGTCTGTTGACCAGACCACACACTAGAAAGTGAAGGGACTACGACGTTTCGGTCCGTCTTGGACCATTCTCAAGTTGATCGACTTGAGAATGGGTCCAGGATGGACCGAAACATCGTCGTCCCTTCACTTTCTAGTGTGTGATCTGGTCAACATACTTCAGCCACGTTATTGTGACTCATCGCCTGCATTTACCGTCTTGTGAGCACTACTGAATTGCGGAGTTTCTGTTACCAAGTTTCTGACTGGAACAGATTCAATCTTAAAAATGGCACAAATTCAATCTTAAAGAGTGCTTTTCCTTTGATTCTAAAAGCAATGACACATCACATATATTGTACAAATGTTAGGTTGTCACACCAAAGTGAACTCGCAGGTCATCTTCAATAGTTTGTCAACAAGGTTTTCTATTAAGGAGGTACAGTATAGCTATTGTTCGGGTATTATTATATTAGACCTTTCTTTGTGTCCATTATATGATTTGGTGCAAAAAATTGTCTCTGAAAAATTGAGAAGCGTGTGTATAATTGGTAGTGAAAATGGCAAACTTACCAGTAGGTATTGTAACTCCATAGTTGCATCCAGTTGACAGGTATCATGACTCCAGACTTGCATCCAGTTGACAGGTATCGTAACTCCAGACTTGCAACGCATTTTAAAGCTGTCTATTATAATATGAAAGATACAAAAGTTTTCTTTATTTTGGTTCTGTAGCTTGCCAAATTATAATAATATATAAATGCATTTCTTTGGAGTGTTAGACAAATGTCTAAATATATATATACATATATATATTTATTTCCTAGTAACAATTTAAGAACTAAAGTGTGTTTTCATCTTGAAATATTATTCTGGAAATCATTGCACCTATAACAAACCTCTCCAACCAGGTAAATCTTCTGGTAACACATAATTATGCTTGCTGGTTAATGCTGCAGTGTTTTCATTTATACTGTTTTAGAATTTGCTTTCATAGTAATGAATTTTGCATCTAGCTTTAAAACATTATAATTTCTCTAACAGAAAACACTATTGTATTGTACATACAGTACTGTATACAATTTCATGACACTTCACCACATAGTGACGTTAATGTTTGTTTGCATTACAATTCTATAATTTGTTTTAAAAGGAATAACACCTCAGGTTCAGCTATTGTCAAGATTCCATTTGTAAATTTTGCTTCCTAAGTTTAATTTCTGTTATATATATTTTCTGCTTGATAATATAAATCATGCATTTCTTACACATTCTCACAGTATAATCTGTTACAGAATTCTTGTGAATACTGTATTTAATAGATTTGTTATCCTAACTCAGTGTATTGAGACTAAAGTTATAATTTTCTTTAATTTATTACTTATTGCTGGTTCTAGTTGACGAAGATTTTGTTGATGCACGTGCTGGATTAATGGGAGAAAATTACTGATACCAACTATAACAAATATGTTAAAAAAGTTGAATAAATTAATGCTTCTTATTCTGCTGTTTGGAGGATTCACGACAATAAGACCAAAATAAAGGGCATGAAGAATTGTAAAGTTTACAATGGAAACTTTAATTTATAATTTATGTTTTAATCATCACTATGCTGTTTTCCCCACATAAGGAATTATAGGAATAAAATTTAAATGTGTAGAATGTAATGGCCAACATTTTGCACCACCATTGACACTCGCAGGCATCACAATCTGAATATTTTGCATTATAATCCTCACTCATGAGTATAATATTATGAAAAAAATATTAGTTGTGGTGAATAAATATGTGGTGAATGGTTGTGGCTTACTTTCAAATTTGTTATTTGCATGTTAACACATTTGGCAAGGTTTTTAAAGTCTAAACCCTTATGGATAACTAGAATTCAGATGCTTTAAATTAAAAGCCTGATAATAATTGCTACTTGGTCTTCATATATGATGAATAAGTAATTCACATTTTGTGAAAGTTAATTTTAAGTCATTAGAATAATGCCTTGTCCATAAAATAGCATTTATAGCTTTCCATTTGATAGCAAAATTGTTCATGGCTTGGAAAACATTTTGAATTTGCAAATTTGTCCTTAAATCAGTATATTTTTGGCTAGCTCAATTTTTTACACTTTTTCAGCTTATTCAAAAGTAGCAATGCTTTTTCCTTGAATTTTTTTTTTGAATTTCTAATTATAATGTTCCCCGTTTATTATCATCACGGTACTGTACTAGTAGTTACTTACATTTTTTGATAATTAGCGAGTCAGAATTCCACAGCTGTAAAAGCATATATTTACGTGGCATTGGTAGTTTCATGAATCTGTATTTAATTTTATTTCTTTGACTTACTCAAGTTCAGTATCGATTATGAGTTTATGAAGACACTAGTTATTTATCTGACTATGCTAGGGGTATGTAATCTCACCTAGATTTAATACTTAAAAAAAATTGCTGGGTGTTGGCGTGTAGTAACTTGGGGAATTGTAGGCTGACCAGGTTATTAAGGGGGAATTGTAGGATGACCGGGTTATTCAGGGGGAATTGTAGGATGACCGGGTTATTCAGGGGGAATTGTAGGCTGACCAGGTTATTCAGGGGGAATTGTAGGCTGACCAGGTTATTCAGGGGGAATTGTAGGATGACCGGGTATTCAGGGGGAATTGTAGGATGACCGGGTTATTCAGGGGGAATTGTAGGATGACCGGGTATTCAGGGGGAATTGTAGGATGACCGGGTTATTCAGGGGGAATTGTAGGATGACCGGGTTATTCAGGGAGAATTGTAGGCTGACCAGGTTATTCAGGGGGAATTGTAGGCTGACCAGGTTATTCAGGGGGAATTGTAGGATGACCGGGTATTCAGGGGGAATTGTAGGATGACCGGGTTATTCAGGGGGAATTGTAGGATGACCGGGTTATTCAGGGGGAATTGTAGGATGACCGGGTTATTCAGGGGGAATTGTAGGATGACCAGGTTATTCAGGGGGAATTGTAGGATAACCAGGTTATTCAAGGGGAATTGTAGGATGACCGGGTTATTCAGGGAGAGGGGGGAGATTACTTACTCATGTTAAGGTTGGTGAGGCACGTGTGCAGAGTGCTGGAGTCTTGTGCTGTATAGTTGGTGTCAAAGAACTCCTCATGGATATATATACAGTGCCTAATAATGAAGTGTGTTAGGCTGTTTTATGTGAGTTTTTATATGACCTTGTTATTTCCTACAATATTTCTTGAGGATCATACTCCATTGTTAATAATACTGTGCACTTGTACATGTATGTGCATATATTCATGAATGTTTATATATACTGTACATGTATGTGCGCATATTCAGGTATACATGCAATTATATGTATACATATATATGCATGTATACATGTATGTACACACATGCAGGTATGTGCACACATTCACATGCATGTGTACACTAAGAAACATATATATGCACACATAATCATATACACACTCATGTATACACATTTTTATACAGCTTTAAAGGCAAATATGGCCAAAATAATATAATAGGTGAGTAATGAGAGGCATATACATACATATACATGCATACATGTTTACACATACATGCATTTAACGCACATTGTTTCAAAAGTGTGACTCCCGAGTGTAATCTAAATGATTCTAGACCAAGCTGTGTTCATCTGTTGTGTTAGCATTCCACCATATGGATATCTTTTGACAGCATTATTTGCCCCCTACAGCCATTGACGTTTTATATTATTTCCTTTCTTAATTTCTATGAAGGATGTTTTGTACTGTGAGGAGTTGAATTGTACATTGTCTTTGGTTACACTTTTTGTATTGTTCAGTAGTAATATAATAGCTAGTTTTTATAACTTTGACAAAAGTAATTTAGGACCATGGATATACAGCAGGTGTACGAGGCAAATTTTGAGTCATATTTAATTAATCATGGAATATAACTTGAGTGATATAATGTTCATTATATATTGGACAGCTTCTACATGGCCGCAGGCTCTTTTGCGACTTGTGGTGATGTGTTTTCACAGAAACAGCCCTTAAAAATAGTTGATAAGAATCAAATTGATTGTTTATATTTAAATAATTTCACTAGGAGTTATGTTTGGTGTTTAGCATTGCTCAGTTATTAATTCATTTGGAATATTAAATATTTATAGTTCACATGTAGCACTTACATTTTTTGTTTATATATAAATGAAGGAGTTATAAAATAATGAGTTTCTTTGCTTATGCTACAATAAATAATATTGTAATGGAATAAATGTTGGATGATGATTTCCCAATAAAAGAAATAACTTGCAGGCTTCAAAAAAAAATAAAAACTGACCAAAATAAAATTAAATGTAATGTGAGTGACATTTTATACATATAATGATTGTTTTACCAGGAGTTATAGGTGAATGCTCCCTTTCTTCCCTTCTGCACTCCAAGCTGTCACTTCATAAGTGTGATAGAAAGTTTGATTAACATGTTACAAATAGTAAATACAATGCATGCAATAATACATTACATTTTTCTCCTTATTGTTTCTGTGGATTGTATTGGATCATAATCATTGGGTGTGTTCCAGTTTGCAAATACTGTATAAAAATATTTTACAGTAGAAGCTTCAAATTCCAGTCCAAGACTAGTGTCATGGTACACTTTTGATTATTCAGATATAATTTTCAGTTTTACTATTAATTTCGAAATATTGTTCTTTGTTTGATGATGTTACATCAATTTAGAATAATGAAACATGTTTTGGATGTCCATGTGGAGCTTTGGTGCTTCACAGACTACACAGTGGAGACGTAATAGTACACACTGTACACGTTAGGCTGTTTTACTCATATTTACCACACCTCTCATGTTGTGTATCACACTGCCCTTCACTACATGACAAGTATCAAAGTGAACTTTATACATTCTTTAATGGTGCACTCATCATTTACTCTTGCAAGACTAATTGTATGTGATTACCTGCCAAGTTAAAAATGTAACATTATTTGTACATATAACAAACTATATGACTAAACATGGTAAGCAAGGATCATTGTGCATAACAGCCAAAGCATTTTTGTATATTTTAAATTTTTTTTCTATGATATTAACATGCTCTTGATAATATTCACATATTATAATGACTATATAAATTGCTTGATTCCTCAATACATGTACTGTATATACTGTTTGCAGTATATATATTGAGGCACATTTAGGTAAGGTTTGCCAATTTAATTTTTTTTTAATTTTGAACTAAAACTATCCTCAAGTTAAAATAACGGAAAATTGTGTTTTTATAAATAATCTTGGCTTGTTAGGTGACTTGCTATTAGGTACGATATAATGTATATACACAGGTATATGTATATACTGTATTATGATTATTTTTATTTACATTCCCAATAATGATATTTAAGAAAGTCATCTTTTTGCAGAATATTCATAATGTTAAATTAACTAAATTACTGAGACTGATTTAAGAGTTAAGCAATATTGTCATAAAAAAAGTAAATAATGTTCTGTAATAAGTTACCGTCTCAGAAACACTGAATACAGTACTGTAGCATATAGCTACCAAACATCATTTATTAGAAATATTGAAGTTTAACGAGATTCATATAAAATTGCTTCCAGTAAGCGCATTTTTTTTTCTACACAAGTTTTTGCAGCAGAAAAAAATTTGTATCGAATTCTACATTTTGGTTTGATGATATAAGTTACACTCTTATTTAGAAATTTCGTTTGTGTTTAATAGATTAAAAGTTTAACGTGTATCAATAATACAAGAACAATTCTGTACTAAGTACTGAAGTGAAAATTTCAAATGATGTGATTTTTTTTTGGTCCCGATATGTACGTGATTAGTTTTCTGGTTCATAAAGAATTTCAGTGATATGATCAATTATATTTTGGCACATTCATGTTAGTAAAAATTGTATTGTTGGTGAAGTTTTTTTTTAAGCATTAGTAACAGTAGTCGACCATTCATGTGTGCCATACTGACCATAAGTACACAAAAGAGGAGGGAAGTAGCATTTACTTCAGATATTTTTTCAAATAAAGTTGCAAAGTAACAACAACCCCCCTCCCAATGCCCCCAATCCCCTCCCCTCCCCCCCTCATTATCATCATCATATCTAATTTGATATCATATATCTATATCTAATTTGATAACATGCATCATATCATATATCTAATTTGAAGGTTATGTGCCTTTACTTTCAATTAAAGTCAAGTATCTAATAATGAACTGAATAATTTCTTACAACAAGCTTTAAGGAAATTTGGAAATAGTGCTTTGTTGTTGCCTGCAATTGTTTATCAATAATCTGTAAACAGCTTGTGTTCATGGGGCTTGTGTGTGCCTGTTTAAAAGTTCATTGTTAAAATTTTGTAGGGCTCATCACATTGGGTTACTAAGTAAGGACATGAAGGTCACTTCTGTACCATTTGCCCAAAAAGTATATTAAAATTGAGCATTAAATTTTCAAATTTTCAGGATCTCATTCTAAATCTTTTTTTTTTTTTTTTTTTTACTTGTGATGAAAGAAATTGAGAAAATGTTAGTCACTGGTAGAATACCTCTTAAGTAGATGTAAGTAGGAGCAAAAGGGGGAACGCAAAATATAAAAGTGAAAAGCAGTGTTAGGTTGTGTTGGAGAATGTGTGATCTAACATTGATGAGCTACATTATATATGTGGTGCAAATGGACTGGTAGGCAGTTCAATGAAAAAGGTACTGTAGATATATAGAAACTTGACCGTAGCTGAAGTTTTTAGCCAGCTTTCTTTTTTTTTTTTTTTTTTATACTTGAGAATGTCGGTGTAAATGGGATGTTTTAAGAAAGTCATGGAACTACCATAATAATTTGTAAAATACTAATAATGACATAAGGTGCATTGATGTTTTTACAGATGTCTTAAAGAAAGACGAGAGTAACGTTTACTGAATTACATATTGGTTTGTTTCGCTGACAAGCAGCAGGGTTATGATTATGCATGACATTAATTGCAGTATATCATGAATTTGTGACTATTGAATATTTATAAGAATTGTGAAATAATGTGTGTAAATGTAAACTGCATCATGAGAAATTCAGAACCATATATGACATTAAAATATGTAGCTGTACTTGTGTCTTTCAAGACTAACACAACACTTAGATGTGACCAGCACATATGGATGGAAAATGTTTTTCTATTTAGTACATGTAGAATGTAACTCAAGCTGGTATTAAGATATTATTGGTAAATATATATCAATGAGGTAATTATTGTTGTTGCCAAGAGCAAAGACTGATGACAATTTGAAAAGCAGTGTGTGAGAAGAACTGTTGTTAACAACTTTTCATGTACCATCATTCCTGTTACCACGTGGTGGTTCACTCTGCACCGAGGTAATAAGAAAATGTTTTAGAATCAGTTGTGACCAATTTGTTATATTTTTATTACATTTATACTTCTAAATATAATTTAACTTCATGTTTTTGAAGATGTAATGTGAATACAAACCTCATTCTCTTCAAAACATAATTGCCAATCTATTGAGAAATTTATCTCAAAACTGACATCACCCAAATGCTTAGGTACAGTATAGTAGTTGAAAGTGTACAATAAATGTCTAGTGTTAATATTAAAACTGAAATGCTGACATGAAAACATGCCAACCAACTATTAACACACTTTAGTGCTTAAAATGAAGACATAGGTTATGATCCCACAGACAAGGACTTGGATTAAATGCAAATTGTAAAAGATTCTTTATACTTGTTATTGCTTTGTAATCCTTTTCTCAAGTGCCCAGCACACATAATTTGTTTAGAAAGGCCTGAGGATTCAGGCAACAATGTTGATAAGATATCAGAATTTATTTTGTGAATGTGAATAAATTTATTTTGGAGTAATGTTTGCTATTCTTGAGTATAACTAGAGACGTTGAGGTACAAGTATGGAATATTCTCTCCATTTCATCGTCACTTCCCACTGTGTATATATTGTATCCACAAAATACAAATCTCTTATGGGAATATCTTCAATGGAATTTTCATATCTTCATAGGAAACATGAGGAAGGTGTGAAGTCATTACAGTAGCAGCATGCAACATCTGAAGGATAGTAGAATGTATGTAGTGCATGGTGAGTATGTTAGGTGGTTAGCACATAACTGACTGGATGTATGGAGCATAAAAATATTTTAAGAACGCTGGCTTAGTATACAGATTACACAGTAGATGCTTTTTGGTTGACATGCTCTACTGTATAATTAGGAGCCCTAGGCCTGGTTGTTCTTTGGTACCGTTGTTGTCCCGCAAAGTGTCGATACAAATATTGATTTGTTTGTACACTTGAATGTGGAATAAGCTATATTGTTATAATTTTTTATGATAAATATGAAGTTCAAAACAAAGGTGTATAATGAGTGGAATAAATAAGAAAAGCTATGCATCCCACTCTGTTGCCAATATTATTTATAATTGTTTCTTATTGAATATAAGATTTTTTTATAAAAGGACACTAATAGATAAAAGTAAAAAGTTAAAATACAAGAACAAATTGCAGTCTTAGTGAAGAATGGTTGATGATTTGTAACTTATGAATTGTATAAACTGTCAGTAAAGACATAGAGCTATATAGCGGATTTCTTTAACCTTTGAGCTGATTGGTAGATATACCTGTCGTGGGGTGGAGGTGGGGGCAGAGCCATCTTACCACATCAGCCCGATGGGCACTTGCCCAGGGCCCCCACAACCATAGGACATGTTCATTATGGAAGCAGAATGTTTAAATATTTAGGTCTTGTTGCAAGCAAACTTGTATAATATAACCCTACATCCTGGTGTGGGACTAAATATTAAAGATATATATTTCCAGGTGAATAACCTTTTCAGCAGAAATGAAACAATGTTTTGAGTGGAGCACAGAAGAGGAAGAGTGTTGCAGAGAAGGAGACAATAGGAAAACTTTCAAAACTAACATTGTAGCTCAACACAGGTGCAACTAGTCTTAACATTCCTTCAGATATAGCATCCACATCTACATCCATTCTTGCTACCAATCATCCAGTTTTAGCAGACATACCATCATTGCCTGTTGCTGCTACTGGTGACATTTTACAAGAGGAAATGTCCAAATCTGTAACAGTAAAGGCGTTTGCACTCCAAGACACAGATCCGGGCCATGGCAATGATACTAACACAATAGATTACTGGATTCGAATTGGGTCCTCACTGTGTCAGAATCATGATAGCAACCTTGCAAACTCACCCGGAGTGTATAAAACAGCTCGAGTAGAGATAATGAAGGCAAGGTATTTATCAGTGTTCAAACGTGAACTTCGGATCGGCGTGTGTGTGAAACATGAATGGCTACTCCATTCACCATCCCAAGGTCATCTGTACTGCTTTGTATGTCACCTATTGTCCAAGAAAGAATCTCCCTTTGCTACATTGGGGTTCAATGACTGGAAACACAGCAATGTTATTGTAGAACATGAAAATGGAGAACATCGAAAGTTCATGACACATATTTGATAAGGCGTAAGGAAACTGGAAGTGTAGATTCTTTATTACTTTAGCAACATCGCTCAGAGCAGGAATATTGGCATAGTGTTGACACGTGGGGTTTCTGTAATTCGTTTTCTTGCCTCTAGAGATTTGTCATTTCATGAAGAAATCGAAAACGACGTTACCAGTGGAGCGGGACTCTACTGGTAACGTCTGGCCAATCTGAGGCCTCACCCCTCACAGTGACTCGCTGTCTGCTGTTGCTTAGGTACTCCCTTATCCAATGGAGTACCCTCCCTTTCATTCCTGCCTGCATCTCTAGCTTTTTCATTAGCCTCTTGTGTGGTACTGTGTCATAGCTTTCTGGCAATCCAAAAATATGCAGTCTGACCACCCCTCTCTTGCCTGATTTTTGTTGCCTGGTCATAGAATTCAATTAATCTATAACTAATATTTAATTAATCCTGTGAGGCAGGACTTGCCATCCCTGAACCCATGTTGGTGCTATGTTACAAAGTTCTTTCGCTCCAGATGTTCCACAAGCTTTTTTCGCACAATCTTCTCCATCAGCTTGCATGGTATGCAAGTAAGGGACACTGGCCTGTAGATCAGTGCCTCCTGTCTATCCCCCTTCTTGTATATTGGGATTACATTAGCAGGCTTCCAAATTGTTGGCAATTTCCCTGTTACCAGTGATTTGTTATACACTATGGAGAGTGGCAGGTACAGTGCTTTTGCTCCTTCCTTAAGTATCCATGGAGAGATTCCATTCGGGCCTATAGCCTTTGTCACATCCAACTCTAGCAAGAGCTTCCTTACATCCCCACTGGTAATCTCAAACTCTTCTAGTGGTTCCTGGTTAACTGGTATTAACTCCGTGTATGTGTGTGTGTGTGTGTTTCTTTGTGAGTATGTGGGGTGGTGGTGTGATTTAGGGAGGGAGTGAGCGTTTGTGAAATTTTGGGTGTGGGTGTGGGCGTTTATTTGAGTACAAGTATGGGTGTAAATGCAAGGGTGTGAGGATGTGGGGGTTACACAGTGGGGGTTTGTTCATAGGGGGAGGTGGGGAGGGGTGTTTTGGGAGTGTGTGAGGGCGTGGGAAGTTGGAGGGATCTGATTGATGATCAGGGGGGGCCCTTGTATCATATAGGTGCCAAAACTTATATACAGAATGAGCCACCCGAATTTGTAGGTCTAAATATCTCAGATATAGTTTTAATTTTTTTTTTTTTTTTTGAGATTAGTAGGTACAATAAAGCATAACTAGGTATGGACTTCAGGCTGGAGCTGCATACTCCAGGACTGGTCTGACATCAGTGGTATACAAGGTCCTGAACGATTCCTTACACAAGTTTCAATTAATTATTTTAAGTCTTCTTGATGACCTGGAGAGAGTACCTGGCACTAACTCACTCCAAGCAAGCACATGCTAGGTGAGACGGGGTTGGGTCGCCTGTCCTCTCCTCTGCTGGACGCCAATGCTGCCTCCACGTGTTCCTAATATGCTATTCACTCCTATCCTTCTCACTGAGCGTCAATGAACATGTACAACATATACTATCTACGCGGTGCACTCACTTCGGGGGATCGATCACTATGTTTGCTATAATTCCGCTTCACAAACTCGCCAATTCGTCCGACCTAACTGACTGACCCCATGGTATGGCACTGATGTTGCCACTCATCCTATTGTGAGTGATGTGAGTGGTGTGTTGGGTACTCACCTAGTTGTGCTTGCGGGGGTTGAGCTCTGGCTCTTTGGTCCCGCCTCTCAACTGTCAATCAACTGGTGTACAGGTTCCTGAGCCTACTGGGCTCTATCATATCTACATTTGAAACTGTGTATGGAGTCAGCCTCCACCACATCACTGCCTAATGCATTCTATTTGTTAACTACTCTGAAACTGAAACATTTATCTCTGATGTTTCTGTGGCTCATTTGGGTACTAAGTTTCCCTTGTTCGTGTTCCACCCGTGCTAAATAGTTTGTATTTGTTCACTCTGTCAATTCCCCTGAGAATTTTGTAGGTGGTTATCATGTCTTTTCTGTATTCCAGGGGCGTGAAGTTTAGCTCCCGTAGCCTTTCCTCGTAGCTCATACCTCTCAGTTCTGAGACTAGTCTGGTGGCGTACCTCTGAATCTTCTCTAACTTTGTCTTATGTTTAACTTATTTAATTATTTATTTATTTATTTATTTATTTATTTATTTATTTATTTATTTATTTATTTATATACAAGAAGGTACATTGGGTTTGTGAGAGTGCATAGCATGATGTGTTTACTTTCTTGTAAAACCACTAGTACGCACAACGTGTCGGGCAGTTCATTAATCTAACAGATAATATTAAGTAGGTAAATTCTAGTAAAATTTATAAAATGTTAACAGGTACATTGTAATAAAATTTGAGAGAGATTATTATATATTTTAAAGCACATTGATAGCTTTTGATTGATTGCTTGATTGATAATTTGACAAAGATTAGTAGGTACAATAAAGCATAACTAGGTATGGACTTCAGGCTGGAGCTGCATACTCCAGGACTGGTCTGACATCAGTGGTATACAAGGTCCTGAACGATTCCTTACACAAGTTTCTAAAGGCCGTTCTTAAGTTGGCCAACCTAGCATATGCAGCTGACGTTATCCTTTTGATGTGGGCCTCTGGGGGATAGGTTCGGTGTGATATCAACCCCCAGATCTTTCTCTTTATTTGAATCTTGCAGGATTTCACCTCCCAGATGGTACCTTGTGTTCAGCCTCCTGCTCTCTTCGCCTAATTGCATTACTTTACACTTCCCTGAGTTAAACTTCAGTAGCTATTTTCTAGACCAGATTGTCCAAGTCGTCCTGTAGTCTCTGTCGATCTTCATCTGTCTAGATTCTTATCGTAATTTTTGCATCATCAGCAAACATTGAGAGGAATGTGTCTATTACCCTCTGGAAGATCGTTTACATATATCGAAAACAGCAGGTACAGAAGCCTGTGGGACTCCCCTGGTGACATCTCGATACTCTGATGTCTCCCCATTACAGTAAGTGTATGTGTGTGTTTTTGGTATAAGTTATTGCATAGTAATAGGTTGCTAATGCTAGAGGTGTAAATCTGGTGCGCTTAACATATTGGCGCCAATGCACTTAATGTAATGTTTTAGACTTATAAACACACACATGCATTCTCGGTGGCGTGTTAGGCTCAGAGATTTGTAGCCGAAATTTTAAAGCACGCATTACACTTTTAATTTCAGAAATGTTATATTGATTCCATTGTGAATTCTCATGTGGCAAGGACAGGAGCCTGGCACGTGTGAAGGTTAAATGAACAAATCCACAAGGGCCGTGACGAGGCCGTGACTATAAATGGTTCTTGCATAACTAGAAAAATAGGACGGTAATCCATTCAACAATATGAATTAAGATAATTACAGCACAGCGGTCACTCCTTGAATTAGAGGTAGACACAGAGTAAGTGTGAGATGAAGAAAGTAATTATCAAAAGAAGGCGCCAAGCCTATATGCCAAAATTGGCATATAAATATGCCAATTACTGAAAACGGCGATGGGTCATATTTTGCCCAAACCCCACTGCAGTTTTCAAAACATCTGAAATGTCGGAAATTTGACTCCTGAGTGTGATTTTTGAGCCGAATTCTGACTCTCTGCACCTATTTTCATTTTCAAATTACTACTTTTTACACCGAAAATATGCCAATTACTGAAAACGGTAATGGGTCATATTTTGCCCAAACCCCAAATCTAAACTATTGGGACCGACTAAAGAGCCTAAAACTGTACTCCCTTGAGCGCAGGCGGGAGAGGTACATAATAATTTACACGTGGAAAATATTAGAGGGGCTGGTCCCAGACCTGCACACAGAAATAACATCACATGAGACCAGAAGACATGGCAGGATGTGCAGAATACCCCCGTTGAAAAACAGAGGTGCAACTGGTACTCTGAGAGAGAACTCTATCAACATCAGAGGTCCGAGACTGTTCAACACGCTTCCACTACACATAAGGGGCATAACTGGCCGACCCCTCACAGTGTTCAAGAGAGAACTGGATAAGCACCTCCAAAGGATACCTGATCAACCAGGCTGTGACTCGTACGTCAGGCTGCGAGCAGC